TGCAGTAACATCAAGTGTCCCGCGAAAACTTTGAAGAGTGAGTGCAAAAGAAGTTTAACGTTTAATCTTAAAACTGAGTGGCTCACGAAGGCCGTTGCTGGTACTAAGTTTCCATGGCACATTCTACAAGAATGGGATAATATTTCATCGATGGTTAAATTTTGTCAGGTCACCTTAGCAATGTGCTATTGCCCAATTATATTCCTGATTCGAGAGAGACACTGTAAGAGTTTTTAAGTGTCTTCCCAAGAAACATAACACATTGACCCAGCCGTGCCAAGGCTTGAACCCAGACCTCTCGATCAGAAGCTCAGCGCGCTAACCAGAAAGCCAGCGCATAGATTATGCAATCAGGCGCCTCTAGATAAAGATCGGAAGTATACATTTTTTTCATCACATGTTTCTCATCACATGTTTCATATAGTTTTGAACTCATTGGCTCGAATACGCACCTTCCCCTCTCGCTGGGTATACTTTTGTTCGTACGCATGATTTTGAGTGTGTTTAACAGTTTTGGCCAATCATAGCTAACAATGTCCTCGTGCGTGCATTTGGACTTTGTTTCGTGATTTACATCATTTTCATTCCCTGGTTGTTTTCTCCTGTCGCACGCAAATGTAATGGCGATACTTTTCAAGATTTGATCGTCCGAGTGTGTCGGATTCAACATATCACCGGTTATTTAAGACCAGAGGCCTCTCAAATTGGATATTTCACTCTAGAGCTTCAAGCAATTGGATAAATTATGTCTCCCATTTAGGTCTTCAAGTTGCAAATGTTGATCCAAAGACGTTGTGTGATTTTAACCCTTGTGAAGAGGTTGGATGTCTTTATGACCCAGCAGCGCACTGCATCACTGATTTCGAGTGCAATCCTTCGTTCTTCAATCTCAATGGGGAGATGCTCCCGAAATGCAAGGGTACGTTTCACATGCAAAGTAAAAGAGAACTCAGTGACCTAACTAATTACATTAAACACCTGTCGTTCCATAAACAGGAACCTCGAAACTAGTTACTGTAAGGGTGATCGAGGTCGATTTTATCTCACTTTTTACCCCACAAAACGAAGAAAAATCCGGCCAAAAGTCAAGGGGAAGTCGTCCTGTAGCTACTCTTTTAACAGACAATATTACAGAGCCACCCTAAGCACCCGTCGCCTGGTGCTAAATATATTCATCTCCCCACATTTTCACCTTTCATCACCCTCTGTTCTCTAATCATATGATTTGTATCTCCGAATCATATGATGCGCATTTCGACCACACTTAATCGTGACATAAGTTCGAAACGATTTGGAATAGTATCGACAGAACACACACATCGTAAGTGTAGTCTTATTAGCAGTCACTTCAGGAAACTTATATGATTTTGATCTGCATAATTTGTAACTATACTTTCAGCTCGAGGGAATGATAATTCTCTAACACAGCGTTAGAAGAATGGCCAAATTAAGCCTTTGAATCTTCAAGTGGCGCACAAAGGTGCAATTTAACTTGGATGCTTCATTTTTTTTTAAAGGAATAGACAGCCTCTACTCAAAAATCCCACAAGTGATTTGCAGCTTTAATCCGTGCCTCTCTGAGAGATGCTCAGAAATCAGAAGTCATTGTTTGGTCGACCTAAAATGCAAGCCAGTGTTTATTGATGTCGACATACGGACTATACCGCCTCAGTGCCAAGGTGAGGTATTTTTACACTCAAAACGTCATGAGAGTTTCAGGAGAGAGAGAGAGAGAGTTACAGGATCGTGATGTAGGAATCAAGGTTCAACGACGACTTTCTCAGAGCAGTCATTTGTAAATTGGCCATAGATCAGTAATGAATATATTAAAGTTTGAGTGACAATTTTCTTCGCTCGAGTTCAATTGGTATCATGTTATTTGAACGAGTGCTTAAATTTATTTAAAGTTTTGGTCAATATTCATCTTTGACGCAGCGGCCGGCAGTTGTTTGTTTTTGTATTGATCACCGCTTAACCATCTTTCAACACTGCACTCTCATTGGTCTACTATTTTTATCGTCTAGCCAAAGTTGTCACGCGTTTGTGATCATGTCATCACATGTCATAGGCTTTTAATTTTTCATTTAAGAGAGAATATTTTCGCAAACTTGTCATTAGTTCGTAACTATGAGAGAACTCTTACTGAGTTCAGTCTCGCGCTGAGTGTTAAAAGGGATCACCACATCTATTTTCAATTACAAAAGCAATGTACAAGCGCCTTTAATGAAGTGATGTTATTATCATTTTTATAATTATAATTATTTCAACACTTATTTGTATTCAGTCCATGGCACTGTCAGAGTGGATCGTTTGAAAGGAGATCAAACCTGGACTAAACTAAGTCCAGTAAACATCAAACAGTCCTCAGTCAGCCTAGCATCTGACGTGACTCCTTCGTTTACACAACTTTGGTATCCCGTGACTCTTGCTAAAAGGCTGGGCCAATTTGAAAGGTAAAGTATTGAAATTTTAGGTACAGATTGTGCGCTCATGTTTAACTTGTTTGATTTTCAAACTCTTGAGTTAACTTATCTTTCTGAAGTATTCAAGCAAGAGTCTAAACACTACAAAAATGATAAATTGCATACAACCACCGATAACAGAGAAGCTGCCTTTCTTGTCTCGGCTGCGTTTGACGCCAGAAACTTTGCTTAAGTATACTAAAGGTTAGGGAATATGTTTCTGTATATCGGTTAATTTTTTTATTAGCCCATTTTATTAGAGCCTATTATTTTAGTAGCTTTCTTTTTGCATTGGTTTTAGATGTAGACTTTCCTTTTTTTACTAATCATCACACACAAGGGCATAGCCAGGATTTTTCAAATGGGGGTCACAATGTGTCACACAAAGGGTACTCACCAGATTGACATGTCGACCTCCACGCCGTGTTTTACCTAATGAGACAAAAAAAGGCTTATAAGGGGGGTAGGGTTACGTGTTCCTCAGAACCCCCCTAGCTAAGCCCTTGAGTCCCAATCCAGCACCTTTTACCCAAAGAATTTCGTGAAAACTTTCTCTGCGGCGACTGTGTTGGTGTCAATTCCAATAGTTTTCGAGTTTTTTTAAACACTGATAACAACTGGCATTATTGAGAAGCAGTATGTGTACAAAATGATACCTAGCTGTGTATATTCTGTTTAGAATGAAAGGAACATCTCCTTATCCAACGGCTCTAGCGAGACCTCTAAGTGCATACAGTACAGCCTTGGCAGCTGTTGCTGGGAAACACGCAGGTAACATTATCTATCATAAACAATACAAATTCCTCAAATGTTATTGGTGCATTTGCAGCTTCATTTTTCACTGATCATTCTGTACAGTTGTAATCGGACTGTGTAATCGCACAGGTGGCTGTAATCGGACACCCTTAATCAGACAGTTGAAGCAGCCAATCATACTAAGTCCACTCACCTAATCCACTAATAACAGAAATGATCAAAATAACCATCGCAACAACCGCTTATCCAAAGAAAAACTGGGTAATCTCCAAAATGAAGGAATTTTTAACTTAAGACACTGGAGATATTTTTCTGGGTGTATTTGTTTTTTCGGAAATTGAAATGGCGATAGTTAATTGGTAACAGGACTTCTTGTTGTCCAATTCTGTCCGTAATCATACTCGTGATTAAAAAATCGGACTCTCTCCTCGCGGTCGTCCGATTTTGTCAATCAATCGTATGATTACAGATCGAATTGGATTCCACTTGGTCCTATTATCATTACTAATCATGCAGCTGAATGTATAAGGACTCAGAGGGCATATATGTTTGTTGAAAAGAACCCACTAGTGAATCTATTCAAACATGAAAACTATTTTGAACTGAAATCATATCAAATCGATCTCTAAAACAACATCAAATTTATTGGGACTGTCGTTAACAGGAGTAATATGAGCGAAAGGCCATTTTGAAAGTCAGGTTTGCAGTTTGGCGGTGTACTTTACCAGTCCGGACCATAGACAATTTTGTCTATACCATTCCTTAGGAGTAATCGGCTCCTGCATTTCATTGGCATGATTGGTTTAGACAAAACCAAAACAAACTGATGTGACCGAGAGAGGATTGGGACGATACTTTTTCTAGCTAGTTTTCTCGTGGCGGCCATATTGTAATGCGAAGGAGACGGCAGAACAGAATTCAAAATTTCAAGAGACATCGTTGACTTATTGATTTCCATATCACTGTACTACAAATCTCATTTTCGACGGACATGTCATGACGTCATGGTAGAGACAAGGTTGTCTATGGCCCGGACCGTTTACACCAACAAGAAACGAAAGAAATTAGAGATTACTGACAAAATGACCGAAAAACAAAAAGACAAATATTCTGAATCATTGTTTATTTCGCGGTACCTGTAGTTCAACCCTTGGAACAAAGGCCGGTTACGGAGGTGTTTATAGAGAAACGCCCAGGTGATAACGATGATGACTTTGATGATCATGATGATGATGATGACGACGACGATGATGATGATGATAAAGCTGATGATGATGATGATGATAATGACGACGGGAATGTACATGCTGACCTTGACGATGACAAATAGCCTCTACAACATTGGCATTTACACTTCTGAACAATGTTAAGTTTGAATTCACACTTTCAGTCACTTGTATTTTGTCTCTCCGCTCACTTATCTTTTCAGAAAAATCAAAACAAAGGCCCGTTTTTCATGTAAATAGACGAGAAAAAAAATGCTCTAGGAAAACGAAGTCGACAAAATATACTTAAAAAGAGAATAATTTTTTACCGACCTGATTGAACTATCGGTGTGACTCTTTAAGTATTCCGTACTCATTATTGTCTTTTAAACAAGAAAAAACGTTTTCCTTAAAAAAGTTTTACTGCGCATTTTGTTGCATATTTTGTCGTCTTTACATGAGTTCTCACGACGAGGTCGTCCTCGATCATCAAGATCGTCAAAGCGCTTAACTTCTTCTTTCGTTTACTTTCCTTGGCTCGGGGGGGAGGGGGGGGAGGGGGGAAGAGATTGCCAAACTCCAAATCAATGCATGGCAAATTTTTCTCTTTTTCTGAGATTTGTCGTTTGTACTTGAAATTACTTTACGATAATGCGAAGCTTTAAATGTTTCAAATTGTGCTGGCAATCACGAATAGTGTGACGTCATATTCTCATCTAAACTGTCCACTTGACCAAAGAGAACGCGCGTACAAAGTCCATTATTCTAAGAATTAAAAGCCAAAGTACTATCGACAATAATGTTCTAAAACAGTTGGTTCATACATCAGCTTTGCATTCATGGAGATATGAAGCACGTTGGAAATTTTAAGAGAGAGCACTCAAAAAGCCAGAGTTGCTGCGCCTCGAGCAATTCTGACGCTTCTCTTGTGCTTTCCAAACTTTCCGCGTGATTCATATCCATATGGACGCACGCTTACGTTTGAACCGATAGTTCACCCTTTAACTCCCAGATTTGATTGACTTGCAACTTCTCCTCATGATATCCATGTAATATCCAACAAAAAACCTATTGAGAATACTCAAACTTATCAGGTAGAAGTTGTTGTCTTGATCTAACACCAAATTCTGTTAGCAATTTACAATGAAATATATAGCAACTATAGAGGAGAATTAACCATTAAATCTTGGGAGTTGAAGGGTTAAGTGTAATACCGTAGAAAATTAATATCCGCCCCACAATTTAATTAATTGAACAGACAAAACAAACAGTTGTCTGATTTTTATCATGGCGTACTCTTTACAGTACGATATATCTCATTTTGTTTTCTATCACTATTTGAATCAACTGCTCGAAAAAGAAAATCTAACGCAGTATAATCTTTTATCTGATACGAAATATACTTCTTACAATTTAGAACGCTCCCAAAACCCTTGTGTGTCTTCTATTTTAATTTTCGATATCTGACAGCGAAAGCAAGGCATCAATTATTTCACTCATTTTTTTTTCTCAGTTGTTTTGTCTGTAACATGTGCATCTACACGTGAGGGCAGATTTTTCAGAGGTTATTACGTAATCTAGTCACAGAAATAAAAGAAAAGCGCTGGAGATTTGAGCTGGAAATTTGTGTGAACAGCTTAAAAGAAACAATTTGATATTGCTAAACGTATGTCTCTTCAATATCTCTTGCTTTTGAGCCCGAATCGTGACGTTGAATATCAGGGTGACTAAGAGGGCCATCGCGTGAAGATTACACGTGAATGTATCAGCGGCGATTACATAATCTAGTAACGTCCTCTTTGTTATAATATTCAAACAATCTTGCCTTAGTGAGTCCAGTGCTACCAATTACGTAGAAAGCCGGTCATGTCAAATTTCACTTGTTTGGAGGAAAGTTATGGCTGCCGGTCGTTGAGTGATCAAGATTTTTTCGCTGTTGTAAACCAGAGGTTAGATGGTTTCTACTTTTGAATATCATTTCTGATCGTAGTGTGTAGTTCAGGATTTTCAATTCTATTGTTTGGTGACTTCATTCAAACCATCGATTATCATTCACGGTATGGCCAAATCAACTCAACTCGTCTAAAAATTGATAATCCTGGTTCAGAGGAGATAAAAGAAAGTCCTAAAGACTTGGAAGGTTCAGAGCAATGGAAAAGAAGATTCGTGAGCCATACGACCTTCGATCGAGAGAGTGGAAATTAAGCGACAAGCTACACACCGATATCAGAGATCTCGCATGTAAAGTGACGGTGAAAGTACCCGGCGCTCAATCAGTTGCACCTATTGCTAACAAGTTGGTGGACTTTCAAAGGCAAATCGTAGCGCAGGAAAGGGCTGTTAAAGGCGTGGACGAGAGAGAAGAGAAAGAATTTCTTTGTTCACTATGCGGATGTTTTTACATCGAGCCGGTTACGCTGAACTGTGGACATACGTTATGCAAGACATGTATTATTCCAGTCGGCGAAATTTCTGTGTCAGCTGTCTACTGTAAACTGTGCGGCTCTAAAAATTATGAAAATAATCTATCGATAAATGTCCTAGTCTCACAATTGATTCAAAAATGGTTCCCCGACGAGTATGAACGAGAAGTAAAGCAGTTAGAGGAAATCGTTCGGCGTCAACCACAGGGTAACCAGCAAAAAATCGTTGAAAGCGTGTCGGACGTCCTAAACAAGTCTCCAAAACAGGTGACGGCTTTAAAATTGCGGAGCCATGCCTTCTTACAGATGGGGCTATACAAAAAGGCCCTGGAAGATGTCGACCTTGCTTGTGATTTACGACCCTTTCTTTCGAGCGTTTTTCATCAGAGGGGAGTGGTGTTGATGAAAGTGGGAGACTACCACGCTGCTTCAAGTAGTTTTTCGCGCGCCTTAGCACTAGATCCTATAGTAGACCCGCGGTTTCGGTCAGAATTTCTCACCTGTCTGACCCATACGCTGGATTCTGAACGAGCTGACCCACGCAGAAAGCTTTTACCTGGTGACCATTTGGGAGGTTTAACCCGAAACAGTGCATGTCAGAGCCCTCACACAGACAAGACAAATGATCACTCTCTTAAACACAGTTTTCTTCAAAAAGGATCTTCCTTAAAGCGTCCTATTGAAGACACTTCTGATAGTTGTTCCCTCTGTTCTCGAGAATGGAGATCCAAGTATTTCAAATCTTCGACAGAGCTCATTTCGAATTCTACTAAACTTTGTGAGGCTAATGCCGTGAGGGAGCTTGAAGATCTGGAATGCAAAGTCTGTTATAACATTCTGTATGAGCCAGTCACTACAACCTGTGGACATACCTTCTGCAGAACATGCTTACAAAGAGGGCTCGATTACAGATCAGAATGCCCATGCTGTCGTCGTGCCCTTAACTGCGGAGTTGAAAGGAACACTAAAGTTAATGTGATCATTAAAGAGACTGTGAAGAAATTCTTTGCTGACGAATACGCTGAAAGAGAGAAGAGCTTCATAGAAGAAAAGTCACGTTGGAAGGGGTGAGTTTTTTTTTTCTTTCAAATAAAGCAGCCTTACACCTCCTCTGCTCTTAGCTAAATTTGTTCGCTTTCACTTCGCGCCCTACCCTCGGCTGGAGCTCTCACGCCTCTCGCCTAGAGGGCTCGATTATCGCATTTCTCACGCTTCGCGCGTTTCTTAGGAGAAACAGAAAGGCCTGTTACAAAGAATAGCCCGGAAACTGTTTCTAGAAATATGTGGGTTACCTCGGATTGTCATAAAAATGTGTCTTGATTCTCCCTAAGTCATAAATTTTATTTGTTTCATGATTCTGTCAGGAAGTGCTTAGTGACAGTGGAAAGTGAAAGCAAAATTCTCGTGAATTATGTAACGTTTTTAACTTCCTCACCCGGCTTTTCTACCGTGATTTTAAAAACACGTGTTTCAAAACGTGGGAAAATTACTATTGCTATGGCACGTTTGATTTTGGACGTGGAACCTCGATGAAAGTGTACTGTGAAATGATGTACAAGAACCATGCATGACGAGGCCAAACAACAGCTGTGAAGGAGACTGTGCCTTCTCTAACTATCGCCCATGGTGTAGATGTTTCGTGATGTTTGAGCTTAATTCGAGACAATTGATTTTGTTTGTATTACAAAATAATCAAACTAGAGGAGGAAAGCTTGACTTTACGTAAGTTTCTTTGGAAGTTTTGTCTGAGATTTAATCGAAGTAGTTTCAACGTGATCCGTGAAGTGTTAACTGCTCCCTGATCAGCCTGGCTTCAGCTGAATTTAACGAAACTACTGATCTTCCGTTTTTAAAGATAAACGTTTAGAGTTTTAGGCTAATGTACATGTGGCCTTCGGAATATTAAGATATTAAATCGACGTAAAAAGTTTCAAAATGAATACTCTATGTGGAAATAAAGCTTTAGGCAGAAGCGCTTTCAGTGGTTATCCTCGAAGTTAGATGTTAACATCTGCGAGTTTTATGCTTACTGGCGATGAAATTAGTTAAAACCCGTATCACACTGAGAAATATCTATCGCAGATGACACTACATGGCAGGACGCACGCAAAGTCAATACAGTGTTTTATAATCAGCCGCGGTATATTCATTCAATTTATTACCATCCTTTTCAAAAGCAGCAATTGCATTGCAATCAAACTGCCAGAGAACTCATTACAATCTTCCGTGTAAAATATATTGAACTCTTTGTTTAGGGATAGAAGCATCCTATTGTGTGAAATCCTTGGCAGGAGCTTATATTTAACAAAAGAACGGAAACATAATTGTGCCGGCAACACGAATCCTCAAATTAGTTATGTAATATGTTCAAGGCTTCCGTAAGGTTATGTAATTTTCTAGTAATCGAAAGCTATTTCAAAAATTACACTACAATCTACAACGTTTACGTGAGAAAGGCAAGATACATAGTAATACATAGCCCTTACTAGTGAGAAGAATAAACGCTCTCACTGGAACCCAATTAAGATGCACAAATTTAGTAGTGATCATGTTCGTTGTGGTGTGTCTTACTCTCAAAGCGATTTCTTTTGTCTCCATAATTTAGGGAGAGTCTTAAACTTTTGAATCGTAAATAGTTCTGTATTTTCTCGTGTTGTTAGAGACTAGGTATCTCAGAGACGTTAAATGATGTGTAAATTGAGTCGGAGGATTTTTTCGGGTGTTCCCTTTCTATGCTTTTCTGGCGTCCTTTTAATATTGAAACCACTTTCAATCGTTGACTTTTCATCCTTTCCCTGCACTAAAACCCAACGGTCGACAGTGTTTCAACGATAGGACATCTTTTAAATCTCCACAGACTAGCGACATGTAAGTTATTGCACACAAGCTGATCAACTTTATTCAGTTAGTCAGACTGTGTATTCGTGAGAGTGTTGTGTCGCATTAGATACCATTCAGTGCCTCATCAAGAACCATCCTCGACTAGTTTAGAGACCATAATTTGTGTCAAAATCTGTTTTAAACGGGCCGGATCATTGATTTTGCGTTTTAAAAAAATGGGCCTTTCTTTTTCAAGATTGACGTCTGCAATCCGTGTCAATGTTATTTTAAGGTGGCAAGTTTCTAAAGAAACTGGTTCTGCGTCGCTAGGTGCTATAACAATTAAATTTAGGTTTATCAATTGAGTTGATCGTGTGAATGGGCTACCCTAAAGAGTTTCTTAAACGGACGTTTCGAGTATTAGCCCTTCGTCTTTCGCTCTGACGAAAGGTCCGTATTAGAGTCTCACCAGGATGGCCAATTTACATTAAATCATTGGCAACGTTGTTGAAAAAATCAAATTATTTTTTTAAATTCCAACCCTTCCCCCCTTGCTCCTTTCAGGCTTAGCCTCTCCTGTGTTCCAGTTAAACTTCTACTGAAAGGTTTCCCAAATTAATGTCAAACTCAGCGCTTCTGAACAATTTGAAAATATTCGCTCGACGTTGTCTTATGAGGTCTTCGTGCATAAACTCCCAGTGAAGCCAATCGAGAGAAGCTATAAGCCAGCTTTGCTTGGATCTCCATCCCTCTCGAACGAGTTAAATTTCATTAGTGATGTTATGTTTGAATCTCGTTACAGAGTTGGTGTTAACGAAGATATAGAACTGCCTATATTTGTATGTCTGTTGGCTTTTCCAAGTCTTAAATACCCACTCTATATCTTTGAACCGCGATACCAGCTTATGATCCGTCGATGCGTGGAGCTAGGTTCCCGGATGTTCGGAATGTGTGCTTTTTCTGAGGACCCAGACAAGGAATTTTCTGATTACGGAACTATTTTGCGCATTGAAAATGTCAGTTTTCTGCCTGATGGCCGCTCCATCGTTGAAACTACGGCGGTGCGAAGATTTCGTGTTGTCTCCCGATCAACGACCGACGGTTATAACACAGCGAAAATAAAATGGCTCGAAGACGAAATTCCCAAATCATATTCTGAAGATCCAGACCTCCAGACGATGAACGTCGACTGCTATAGAACTTTAGAACTTTGGTTTACTCTTATGACACCGTTACAACAGACATGCGTAACAAACGCAATAGGCTCCATGCCAGCCATTGAGGAACTAGTACCCAGCTCTAACGGTCCATCCTGGCTGTGGTGGGGATTGGCGGCTGTCCCACTGAAAGATAAAGCTAAACTTATCATTCTGTCGATGACGTCACTGGCTGAGCGGCTTCAAAGTCTTCGCCGCTTTTTAGAACTCTTGATCGGGGTGAGATTCGAGAATTAGCACCTGTGGAATATTGAGAACTTTTGAACTTTGAATCTTTAAGTAGATTGATCTAAGTTAGGATTCAAATGGAGTAAAGTAGTTATGAAAGTTTGAAAAATACCCCACAGAAATTCGGTCAGCTTTCAAGTATAAACTACTTGGAAGCCAGTGAGAACATTTTCACCAGTAAAAACGAAAATAGAAAACTTCTAAGCCCCGCGAAGTTAAGTTATCTCAAGCATCCCTTTCTGGAGTTCATTACTTTTTTACTTTTTACGCTTAAAACCCTTGAAGGACCATAACAGAGAGTCCATGGGAACCTGAGACAGCCCTACCTTTCTCCCCCCCCCCCCCCCCCCCCCACCCCCGCTCCTTGAGAGTTACTTTGACTGACCTAACTTTCCAAATATTTCTTCAAGACAATTCAAACAATTCTGAAAAAGGGGAGGACTAGTTTTTTTGGCAGGTAGGGTAACCCTGTCAGTCAGGACACCTTTTTCTCATATAAATGCTTCGGCTCACCTTCCCAAGACGAGACGGTTCGAATTAGTTTTGTCTAGTATGTAACCTGGCTAGCTGTCATGAGAGAGACTGTTTAAGGGACGGCTGCTACAACTCATAACGCTTTGTAAACTGTCCATAAAGTTGTCTCGATGAGGAGGGTTGTCTCAGCCACCTGAGGCGATATAACAGGGTTAACTGAGAGGTAACCCAAATCTTGTTAGGTGATCTAAAATTTGTGATGTATTTGTCTCTTACTTACTCTGTGAGAATTCAGTGATCAGTTTATTTCCTTTAAGAAAAATTTTCATCAGAGTTAACTTCAGGGAAGAGAATCCTTAAGTATGGATGAATATTTTTATAATTTATTTATTTATTTATGAATTTGCCTTAGCAGATCATAAGAGTTTACGAATTTTTTCTTCACTTAAATTTCAAGAGCGAAATCGGTTCGTTGTTGCGCCTTGTTACTGCTTGACATCGCTTTTGGTACTCAGCCAATTAGACGCAAAAGTAAGCGGACCCTTTACATGCTGGTCATACGAATGGATAGCTGCGTCAAATTTTGCTTTGAAATTTTATTGTTAGTTTGTTGTGACTAGGAATTCTGATAACAGTGGTTTGAATTGCAGACACTCCATTTAAATCTACTGTGTCAGAAATTTTAGTCACCAAGTTTTGCATGTTAGATTGTATTTATATTGACTGAAAATTAGCAGAAAATAAAAGGCAGATTTTATCATTCATGTGCCTCAAGTTGTTTTTGGGAAAAGATGAGTGCACCTAAGAGTGATTTGCTCGTGTAAGAGAGACTCGCATGGGAGCTTCGCGTGGGAGTCTCGTTTCCTATGTTTCGAACAGAACCCAGAGTGTGTATAACGAGGACCCACGACCATAGACCCATGTGTCGTTGTAAAACTTGCAGTGATAAAAGCGTTTAACATCATTAAAAACGTCTTAATTTTAGCCTAAAAACCTTCATATTCGACAACAAAAGTACTTATTATCAGTTTACAGTCGAAATCGTTCCGTGGTAGGGTTTATTAATAGTTCATACCAGGGTAAAGTTCGAAAATCAAGTTAGAAACCAAGATCATTTTTTTGCCGAGTCATTATATTGCGTGACGCGCTATTAATATCTTCACGTGCAAGCGAAGACATCTAGGGCATGGTTACATGGGGGAGAAGGGGGGGGGGGGCGCAACATGTTATCTTTTACTTTATCTTGATCACGTTTACATCATAGGTGGGGTGGCCCGCCTAGGTGGGTTGCCCTGTCTGTCGGGTAGGGTATTCCCGTCAGCCGGGCTGACAATTTGACATGAAAACGTCGCAGAGAAGGGTAACCCGCCTAGTTTGGGTCGTGTTCATGTTACAAAAGAAACAAATAAGCGAAACTGGTGTGTTTTGGTACTTTGTACATTTCCTAGCCGTCCTAATCAGAACTAAAACGACAAAAACATCAACTTCTACTTCGACATCAATTTATAATTACTCACGTTCTTACTTTGAACTTATTACTACGTTCACACGTTATGCCGAAGTGAAGACGTCGTACCTTTAGAAACGGCTAACGCTTCGAGCCATTATTGAAAATCTTAGTGGATAATAGGTTACGTTTTTTCGGTAACGTTTTACTACACGTCGCGGTAGTGACATCTTAACTCCTACAAGCGTGACAGCAACCTTGAGAATCTTCACCGCGGCATCCCGGGGTAGTAAAATTGTATGTAAACGCAGGCTATTTTTGCACCATGGTTAGGCGGGTTACCTCACTCACCTAGGGTCATCCACTTCCATGTAAACTAGCTCTTAATGGATATCAATAGTGGTAGCTTATGTTGATATATATGGCAAATATTTCTGCGACAACTAAGAAAATGTCAACTCTCTTTGGCTACGTTTTCTACTGTTAGTGGAGTTCATTCTTGACTGAACTCTGCTCAAATTGGAGAAAGTGAACACAGAAGCAGAAAATATTTATCGGAACTAACCGCTAAAGGTTTCGCATTAGCCGCAAACGTATTTGTCACATCTGTCAATATACTTTCGCCAATAATACAAAGCTGACATGGAATCAATACTTAACTCAGGATTAACATGCCACTGTGCTGACGCAATCTGTTGTTTTGAGCGAATAACAAATCGATGATTTCTTCTGTAACAGGTTGAAGCCGTACAGCCTAACCCGACTCACCCGACTCTCTTGAAATTATCCACCAGTCTATCTCCCTTTCTTTCTCTCTCTTTCTTTCTCCTCCTCCCCCCGCTGGCTAAGTAAACATGCATCAGTGTTGTGTTACACGCGTGAGTCTGGCCGGTATGAATTAGCAAATTGAGAAATAAACCCCCAAAAACTCAAACTGAACATCACAATACAAGAACCAAGCCAATTCACTAAGACACAAACTTTTTCTGAATAATTCTATAAGTTTCTATAAATTATATTTGGTTAACTCCTGCCAACTCGAAATTGAAACAATCACCTGATTTCAGAACGTGCTATTCAAATTTGTTATATAACAATAATATAGAAACATTTAGGGGAGGGGTGGGTAGGACACACAAGCTTAAGAAAAAGGAAAAACAATACTTTTTTTTCTCGCGATTGTTCCAGGAATGATTTTAAGCTTGGAAATATAGTTTTTCTGCGCCCTAAGGTGTCGTAAAATCTTCACTTACCACTTTCCTCTTTTTTTATTTTGATATTCTGTCTTTTTCACCTGGGTAGAGTACGTGGCTTACAAAGAGCGTGACTAAATTTCACGCTGCCGGAACTGGCTCTAAAGTTTGTTATGAAACTTTATTAACAAGCAAGCTGTGGTCTCCCTAAGTCGAAATGTTTGCTCGAAATTTTCTTTAAACGATAATTCGCATTTATTGGTGAGTTTTGACTCGATTCTTTCTCAAATGGGCAAGTGATAATTCTCAGTCGCTTTTCATTGGAAAAGACGAGAATTTTTCCACGCGTTATCAACGAAAGAAACGACATCAAGAAGGAAGACGATCAAAATGTCGGACAAGACATCAAGCGATGGTCGAACCCTAGAAGACACTCTACTGTCGTATTTTGATGTTTTCCACAGTAGGAACATAGCATGCCGAGATCTTCTATTTCCTCTTGTCGATGTGCTGATGGACTACGAAGCTCACAATATTAGGAAAGAACTCGACACGTGGATAAAACAGATCAAATCATCAGCTAGAAGAATATTTCATTGTCCGTGGTGTTCATGTTTGTTTGAAAATCCCGTCACTCTAACATGTGGTCATACTGTTTGTCAGGAATGCCTCCGAAGAAAATCGGAGTTGATCGGTGGAGACAGTTCGGAGAGGTCGTTAAATTTCTGCCTTCTCTGTGGAAATAATTTATTCAATGAGGGAAGTCGGTCAGTGAATAGTATCTTGTCCGATATAATAAGAAAACTGTTCCCCGACGGAGGGATAAGCGCGGAAGCAAAGAAGCTTGGCCAAAGTCAGTTACTTTCACAATGTGCGAAGAAAGCAGTGGAAACGTTTTCAGTCGCTCTCCACTCGAGACCAAAAGATTATGAGTGCCTCTGTCTGCGGAGTGATGCCTACTTGAAATTAAAGCTGCACTATTTAGCACTTAGAGATGCTAGCAGTGCTTGCCAGTTACGACCAGATTTACCAGATGCTTTTCACAGAAAAGCGAAAATTTTAACCGAAATAAAATCATTGGACGATGCAGTCTTGCAGTTTCTTCGCTGTGCTGCCCTGAATCCAACCATGCCTCGTCGCGACGAGTTAACTGAAAGTTTATTTAGACTGTTTACCTCAGTAACTTTGACGAAACTTGAGGAAAAGGTTGCTGCTAGAAATATTGCAAGTAACACTGCTGCAGATGAACTTCAAGAAGTAAAATCAGAAACGGACATCACTGAAAGCTCGAGTTCCTCAGAGGAAGAAAGCAGCGATGACCAAGGGATTGCTCAAAACAGCTGCGAGGAGATTATCGTTATCGAAGTAACTGAGTTACAGTGCCTCATTTGTGGACGTTTACTTTTTTACCCTGTGACAGTCCAGTGTGGTCACACCTTTTGCAAGGAGTGCATCAAGGAAAGTCTTGAGTATGCACCTAAGTGTCCAAGCTGTGGAACAATCTTGACTGATTCAAAAACCAATAACTGGAATTTAACCTTGGTTTTGGATGAATTGCTGAGAATTTATCTAGAGAAGCCATACCGTGAGAGAGAACAATCTCACTCAAAGGAAATGAAGATGTGGACAAGGTAAGATTACTGAGGTCATCACTTTTTTTTTCCTTTGGGGTGGGGTGGAGGGGGGTGGGAAATAATAAAAAGAATACCCGTCACGCTGTCTGACCTCCAAAATATAATTGTTGAGTGAATAGACAATGAACACTGACATTTGAATAGAAATTGCACATGCCTACTTTTCCAGAGTCCACATTTAGTCTCTTTCCGAACTGAGGCTCACCTGTCGATTTTCCCTCTCTGTTTTTGGCCCGACCGACCGACACACTCTCTCGAAAGGGAAAGCGGTGACCTTACGCTCAAATAATTACAATTAGCACTTCATGTGTCAGTTGATAGTTACTTTATTAAGAACTTCAAAGCCAAGGGGGGTCGTATATCATTGGCATGTTTACTTTCCCTTAACTGTCTCTGGATCCGGTTCAGTAGCTCGGATCGTGCTCCACCGATTCTCAGAAGCCTTTGTGCCAAACTTTTGTTTCTGGTGACCATTGTTTATTTTGTGCAACTTAAAGGGTGTCTGTGTTCCTTCAGTGAACCTAAGTGCCCTATGAAAACCGACATTTTGTGTTTATGTACCATTTTCTCTTGGATACTCTAATGTACCATTTTAGGTTTTTCATTATCTTTTCAGGTCCGGAAATTTAATGCCGGTTATTTTACTCATAACAGGAGTTTGTTTATAACTCCAGCAAATATTATCCTCTTTGTTTTGGGTGTCAATCAAACCTCCTGTTCGTCAACCTTGAAATGTTGTGTAGTCTGCCCTGAGAAAGCTCACTGATCGCCTGTCTCAAATAAAATCAGTGGATCTTTACCGTTCGCTTGACATTTCTATGCCAGATTTCTTAAAGACCATTTCATCAAAGTTGGCAGGGATGAGTGAGTAAAGGGGTTTTTGTCTCGGTACAAAGTTCCGCTTCCTTTGCACATACCAATATCCCATGTTATCGTAGGTTGGGTTTTTAAATCAATTCCTGATGAAGACTTATAATTTCATTCTTCAAGGAAAAAAAAGTTATTTGATATTCGATGAATACTTAAGAATCTCAATTATTTTAGCGTAAGAGGCCCTTACGCTAAAATGTGTCTCGCGGTAGTGCTGAAGTTATTTTCTCCAAGAAACCCTCGAAAGCAAGATTAGAAAAACGTCTCGTAAGATTATCGCGGTATTTATTATCGGACTAGATCAATGTGATAGCAGTGATTGGCATTTTTGCTTGCCCTTATTTCGCCTCTCCTCGAAGGAGTTCTTTTCATTTGGTAAGCTTTATTAAGTTCACTTGATTACAGACATTCAAATTACTTCATTTTTTTTTCTTTTCAGGGTAGGTATTGATCAGAATGTAGAGGTGCCAATACTGGTTTGTACCGTAGTAATTCCACAGGGGAGAATACGTCTTACGCTGTCTCATCCCTCCCACCGAGTCATGGTGCGGCGTTCTGTTGAATGGGGTTCCCGAATGTTTGGAATATGTTTGCCTGACGAAGAGAAAGGCTTCACCGATCATGGAACAATAGTCGAGATACAGGCTACCGAAAGCTTCCCAACCGGAAAGTTGGTGGTACAAGCAATTCCGAAACAACGATTCCGTGTTGTTACGAGAAATATTTCGGATGGTTGCCCCAAAGCTAAAGTGGAATGGTTGGAAGACGCAAGAATCGATGACTACCATGCGGTACTGCATTTGAAATGGCGCAACTCGTTAAGCCATTACATGCTGAAGAGATGGCTGGCTGCATTACCTCATGACGAGAAAGTTTGTCTTGAGAACTCTTTAGGACCTATTCCCCCATCTGATAGTCATTTGCTTCTATCACCAAATGGTTCCCCCTGGCTGTGGTGGTCCTTGGCAGCAATACCAATTTCAGCGCAAGAAAAACTAAGGATACTGCTTATGCCTCACGTAGCTGACAGATTACAGAGTATTCAAGACCATCTCGAAGCCTTGCTGAAATCGAACAACGATCGGGATGGAAGAAATGTGACGGAAGAATCTAGCGATGGTTGTCACGCCTTGACCATTTGAGATTCGTCCTTTCAACAAAATACTGTCATCTGAGAGTCTGAGGCAGAGGGGAAAAATAGCAAGAGCTTGAGATCATTATTTTGCGCGAAGCCCTGCATTTGTCTACTCACTCACTTTTGTGTCCGTTTGTTAGAAACATGAAATTGTTTTGAGAAAAACCCTATCGAGGATTATTCGTCGTGGTCTAATTTTTATCTTCAGTTTTCACTTATTTTAGTTTAAGGTAACTCGAGCAGAAAAACAGAAAAATAAATTGCAGACAAGGATAAATGAATATATATTTTAATGTAATACGACGATGCAGAGAATATGTCGCTTTCTATGTTAATCGTTGAATTCGCATTGTGAGGTCGCGAACGCGTTTCGTGATAGTTTTTTTCTTGTTTCTTTGGCTTTTCTTTGTGTGCGGTTGTTTCTCTCTGTGGGATCAGTAAGTCCGGAAGTTTATCCACACATGGTCACGAGTAAAACAACATGCTTGTATGTGCATTTTAAAACAAACACAGAGTGACTGTGCAGCCATCATCAACTTAAAAACTGTTTGAAGAGCGTTAGCCGTGGGCTGAAGCAAACACAGAACAGATCAATTTCTATTAATTATTTTGATATATAATTGGACCTGTTATATTATAACTATAAAATTTCAGGCAAGTATTTATAAATAAAAAGTAAAATGGGAATTACATGGTGAAGTTCTGGAACGTATCTTATGTAAACCAAGTGTCGCGAGATAATTTATCGAAAGAGCTGGAAAGGACAGAACCCTCTTTACATGGTCCAAACCGTGAAAATAATCTCACGAAACCTTACTTGCATTTTTAAGCAGATTTCTATCTCAAATTGCAAGAGCATACACCGAACGAAAGGGACACCACGAAATTCGACACCAGCGCCTTCATTAAATTTATTGTTATTTTAGGATCCTATGTCGTAATGATTAATTACATTTTCAAAGTAAGACCTTCCAGGTCAGACTCTCCTCCCTCCCCTCCCATCCTCTTCCCCAACACTCACACACTTACACACACACCACCTTGTTTAGCCTTGCATTATTAATTTAGCAATAACACTACAAAAATTGTTACAACGTTTCTCTTCGGAAGGTTGAGCCCCTTTCAAACACAATTGTTAACTAAGTGGGCATGAAGTCTCGAGGCCAATCTGTTCTCTTTCAACAAAGTGCAACGCCTTTTAAATTCTTTTCCCTTTTTACCCTGTTTAGTGTGGTAATCAGGTAATGAACCTACTTAAGGTACAGATACAACTTCTGAAGCGACTCTTCAAATCCCGCCATCACTGACCCGTTGAGATCGGAAGTCTTACACAACCTACCAAGGGATACGCATATAGTAAATTCTCTTTAGTGTAAGTGACAGATTGTGGCGAAGATGTTGTTGCAGTCGTTGCCATCTCTACGAAACAAAATGCCGGGATCTCTTGCCAGTAACTTTCTTATAATCCAAATCTGACAGCGGAGATTCCACAAGAGCGTCACGAGTAATCCCATGATCACTAGCAACCGAGTCGTTTTCGTCAATTTCCCGCTCTAAACTCGACATAGGGATGTCTTCGATCTCCCCAGGGATTGCCTCTTTAAGCAACGCCTTTTCTGTTTCTTCTTTCCCCAGCAAATCTCTGGCATCCCCTTGTTTAGCGTCGCTGTTGTCCCCTGATTCATTCTCTATATCACCGAGAACACTGTGATTAATGGTGAAGTCGTCTTTCAGAGCATCACGGATAAAGTCCTCCACCAAACTTGTGTTATCACGGAATCGATTGATGTTGAATGGAATTTCGCTACGTTTTGAAACTAAAGTGTCAAACGAAACGTTATCGATGTCATCTCTGCCAGCCCCCTCTTCAGACTTTTTTGTCAACAAAAACCCTTTCACATCACGAATCAGAGAAAACAACTTCGTCTCAATCCTTGTGATTTCTTCCAGCTTTTGATGCAGTTTTCCTTTCAACTCGTCGTTATCAACAACATCTTTCGTAACGTCAGAGGTGGCAGTGCTGGGGTCTATATGGTTTGCGATCTCCTGCTTCACCACCTCGTCTATTAGTTCTTTAGCTGTTACAACATGAGTTTTGTGTGGCACATGCGAAACTTTGGCATCAGCCGCCGCTTCTTCTTTCTTCTTATGAAGCTTCATCAAAGCTTCGTCAACCGCCTCACGGATTCCATCTTTATCTGAGTAACTATTCTCGACTTTTTCTTTCAGATCATCAGCCGACAGTAGCGTGTGTTCCTTGAAGGCATCCATTACAGGAAACGCCGCTCTCAAATGTGCGTCATCTTGTTTTACGTTTTCCTTCAGAAGATCACTTCCGAAGTTTGAATGAAAGAGATCACCTCCCAGTCCTAAATCAAGACCCAGTAAATCATCTAAAAAGAAGGGAAGGCATCAGTCCAAGGGCTAACACTCAAAACGTCTAAATTTACAATTGATCGTTTTCACTTTTACGTCTGTGAGAGCAGAACCTCTTGTGCAAGTCACCAAAATAAAACACACTTATTTGCCAGTAGCACGGAATATATGGTCACAAACTTATGATTACAAACCTCTTTTGGACGAGTCTGAAGACAAGTCTGCGTTTACAAGGACAGCAATTTCCAAAGCCAACCACAGAATCCATGCATAGCCCAATTTCATTATGTATCTTGTAAATGAAGAGTTAAAACATATCAAAAATTAGACTTCATTTTACCTCCGCTTGGGAAGGAATGTTAAAGGAAATAACACTTGTTTTGATTATTGTTTTCTATATGGTTTATATTGGGCAGAACTAAACCCTCCTGGCAATGTTTGAAAGTTAGATACCTCTTCTGTGTCTTCAAAATACCATCTACCACAGCAATTTCGTAGGATACTTTGAAATCAAGTCATAACAGAGTTCCAGGAAATTTTTCAGTTCACACTCCAGTTTTCATCTAATTCCTGACCGAGTTGTCCAAGATCAGGAGACAACAAAATTTGAGATGATCAAACATTTCCCTATCTTCTTACTAAAACATAATTTTATACAAAAACGTCGTTCATACCTTAATGAATAAAACTCTTTTTCTGCCACTAGATCATCGGATTTTTTAAACGGTGCTTCTTTCCTTTGGATTTTCTTGCAAAATTTCAGTGATCACAGATTGCTTTAGGAGTTATTGTCAATGAATTAAACATCACATTTCTGGTGTTTGACTCTTATGGAGCGGGTACCAGTCATCCCCCATCTTGAATCTAACCCTACTGACATCGTCAGAAAAAAAACCTTTAGTAGGAATACTCAGAAATGGAAGGTTTTATCAAAGTTGAATCGTGCTCTGTTCATTATCCAAGTATTTAAATTCAGGGCGTTTGCAAGGTTTCTATTTGCCATCTACTTCAAAGGTGAAGATAATTAGAGAGTACTTTCAAATTGAGGCGTCAAACTTATTAAGATTTTGTGTCCAAATGCATCAACGTAATTTGCCTTTCTCCAATCAAATTGTGCGCTGGAGTATGAACAAAACCCCTGTTGTTAACACGTGACTTAAATGCTTTGGCTCAACATGTCTTGGACAGACTAAACAGGATAGAACCCGGTCCCCCGTCTTTTCTTTTTTTCTTTGAGAATAACTAAAAATAAAATAACGAACGGATAGCCATTTGTGTAAAAAAGCTTAGTTCCAAAGATCCTATGGAATATAAAGGATCACCTTCAGTGTATCCTTCTTTAAAAAAAAACCCGGAATAGTTTAACTCGCAACAAGGAGCCGCTTCAGATTATCTACTAATCAAAGCTGATGGATTACTTCCCGTATTTCCATTTCTTGTTAATATTGCTTCAAAACAAAGTGATAGAAGACCACAATGCACGCTTGCTTTTACAAACAAAAAATCCGATCGATTGTCGATTCTGTTACATTCCAAAGTGATTTCATGATACACTACAATCGGATACGCTTGCTTGGCTTTGATATTGTTTGTATAACTTAACTTCAATGGACACGAACCTTAGGAAAGCTTAAACATTCTCGATAAAAAATTGTTTGCGTCGCAGTCGCAGTCGCAGTTGTCGAACAAAAACAGAAAATGGCATCCTAAGGAACAATGTGAGCGCTGGAGTTTTAGGGGAAAAGTATGTCAAGTCGAAGATTCCATTACTGGAATTGGCAAGATATGAGGTACAACCTTAATTTGTCGCTGTCTGTCTGATCACACATTTCTCTATTTTTATTACAATGTTTAAGTCTTAAGTGAAACTGGTTTTACTTTTCACTAGTGCGCCATTGGAAAGAAAATAAAATCTTGTAGTGACTTCACGATTACCCCTCTCTGGTGAACAAAATAAACTTGTACATAATCCTCTCCACGTAACTTGTTAAGCCTTGGCTTGTGCATTTGAGGCTTCTTTTTAAGCTTCAAGTGTCTGGTTAAGTTTCTTTCAGGACTGCATGATAATCTTAATTTTCTTCTAGTTGTAAGAAAGAGTCAGCTTAAGTTTTTCATAATAATTTCAAAACATTTGAACAATAAAAACCCAGTGATCCCTAAAATATTCCTTGAAAAGCCACTGAAGAGTTAGATTATTTGTCTCGAACACCATTAAAATGATTCAGTGTGCAGGTGACATCTTTGAGGCTCAAGAATCCTCAAACTTTTGTCTTCAGATAGGAACGGAATTTGCTCTGTATCGCCCTCTATATTGGAATCTAGTCATGAAATGAACTCAGCAAAACTCTAATTTTCAATAGAATTGGGATCGTAAAATGACGATTTCTACTTATGACCCCTCGTATATTATTAGAATTTTGACGGTATTATTTCTTTATGCAGAGAAATGAGAACCACTACTGGAATCGCTATTATCTTGTTGCTTTTACAATTTTCTGCGGTACATTCTACGAGGAAATACGGAAGTAAGACGACTGACAACAACTCAGTGCAAACAGTTAAATATCAAGAACATAGAGACGTGTCTCTCCTTTATGGTGCTTCCAAAGATGCAGAAGACTCCGGGAAAACAATTGCAGACGGTAATAAAAGAAGCACCGATTTTTTCGATGGAAATTTCAAATTAAAGAGGAAAGTTAAAAAGCACCATTTTAAAGGTTCACGTGGGTTTCCTAAAAGACGCGTTGTTGATATGGGTCGCCTCTCTGGCACGAGGAAGAAAACTGTTCAGACCAATGACAATTTTAGCGAGTATCAGGAAAGAGAAAAAATGGTACCTAGCGTAAAAGAAAGTAAAATGGACGACAAGAAAAATTATGCACCCCGAAAAAGACATAAAATTCCACTCAAGACCATACGCCACAAAGAGACATCTACAAAGAAAAGAACTAAAGTCGAAGATGACCTAAGCGCGGAGCGACAAACTATTACAAAAACACTTGACTCTTTTGATGACATATCAGGGTCTTACAATAGAGGAATTGATATGGACGGCATGGATATCAAAGAAGTGAGCATGATCGACAACAACACTCTGTCAGACTATTTTCACGCTTTGAATGGAAATGCAAGTGAAGGTAATAAAAACAACAACTTCTACAATAACATGCCAGAGTACGCGTCGACGCCTACACCAGCTTCAACATGGGATGAAGGTTCCCCCTCAAACACAGAGGAAAATAGTGGTAGTGACGATTTCTATGACGCCATTGATCGTGGAGACAAGCCTCCTCCGCTAAAAATGAAAAAGGTTCGTCCTACAAAGTCCAACTTTGACACGTTAATGCACAAGTCAAGCAAACATGTGGGGTCCTCGCCGACAAATCCAGGAACAGGGTCTTCGTCTAAATTTCGTTTACCCTCTCAAGAGGATTTCGAAAATTTTTTTCGTGGAATGCTCGATCATTTTGGCCATGGACGAAATCCTGACCAGTCTGTACAACAGAGTGAAAGTAAGGTGGATGAACACGAAAGGTTGGCCAGCCAAAGGAACATTTCAAATTTTTTAGAGGCTCTTAATGAGCATCGTCCAGGAAACGTAACTAAAGTGGTATCACTAGGAAGCCCTGAGGAAGTGGAGGTTGGACGACAATCCCAAAACCATAATATGGATTTAACGTCCCACAAAAGTTCTCCTGTGTTTACCAGTGAACAGGTTGGGAGAGATGGAGAAGGATTAACGCCTTTCCTACCGGCAGAAAACTCAATGAGATGGAGACAAGGGTCATTTGGAGACACGAGAATTCCTTTTCGTGGTCACGTAAAAGGGCCCGTAATCAAAGTTGGAAATCCCTTAACTTTCTTGCGCATACCTCCTCGAGATTCCGAAAAACAAGTCGATCGCTTTTTTCCGAAGAAGCCGAATGGCGCTCTGCCTTGGAATCCACCTTATAAGGGAACTCGGATCATGGGAGGAAAAATATCCGGTGGTCAAATTTCTGGGGGACTAATTCAAGGGGGACAGATAAAAGCCGGGTCGGTAGAGGGTGGTATCATTAAAGGGGGTCAGATTGTCGGAGGAAGAATAGCTAATGGCACTATGGAGGGCGGGGTAATTGCAAAAGGGCAAATGTTAGGAGGGCACTTGGTGAATGGTAGACTTGAAGGAGGAAAGCTTCTCGGTGGCGATGTATTTGGAGGAAGGATATTAGGAGGAACTGTAGAAGGCGGGGAAATGAAGGGTGGAGTGGTGGCCGGTGGGCGTTTTCGTGGAGGACGCATGCAGGGTGGACTGCTTAGAGGAGGTGAGGTACAAAGCGGAACTTTGAGGGGTGGAAAAGTTGAAGGTGGTGTTCTTCATGGAGGAAATGTTGAGGGAGGTGAGTTCAAATTTGGAGATATATCTGGAGGGACTCTGAAGTCTGGTGCGATGCTCGGTGGACAGCTCAAAAATGGAAGTATAGAGGGAGGAACTCTTAAAGGAGGAACAATAGAAGGAGGTGTGTTGAAAGGTGGAGTCATGGAAGGTGGACGGCTGAAGGGAGGGCTTGTCCTTGCTGGTAAAATTAAGGGTGGAGTTATCGAGGGAGGAATAATCGAAGGTGGCGAGATTGGAGATGGGGTCGTGATAAGGAATGGTAAAGTTAACGCCACGATCATAGGTACAGGGACCACCATTGATAAGAATCAGGAACTCAGTGGTATATTTCAACAAGGAGAAAATCCGCAGCAGTTAGGACTCGAAGTTGACCAGCCAAAATTTCATCATCATCAAAATGGCAAGACATCACATGCATTAAAAGCCATGTCAGACTCACCAACCAGTCCTCAAGGGTCTGCCCCTACACCAGAGCCCAATCTTGAACAAAAGGCAGCCAATCCAAGTACGGATATCAAAGTACCTTTACAGGAAGGAACTCTCAAAATGCTACCCCAAGAAAATGATCAATCGGATGATAGTAGTCTTGAAAAGTTGTTATCTGAAGGAAAGTCCGACGGTGATAATTTAGTTACTCCTGAACTTTCGTCACAGCGGTTCTTTGAAGAACAGGATCAACCCATTCGAGCTGTTCAAAAAAAAAATTCCAAACAACATCACGTTGTTTTTGACGGGGTCGGCTTTGATCTTCCTAATGAAGATTTTGTAGATCTCATCGATAAAATGAAGGAAGGGCCACAATCGGTAGAGGACCTGGTCAATTATTATACAAAGCCAAAAAGGAAGGAAAACTCACATATCGGGGGTATATTAGAAGAAAAAAATGCGCACATTAAGCCAGAGGAACTCGAAGCTAGACTTAGCAGTCCTACAAAACCGAGATCCAGTGTTACTCACTCCGACAAAGATAAACACCAAAGCCATGGCGGTACAGATGCTCCAAGTTCAAAATTTTCAAAACCTAACGATGAAAAAATAAAGGCCGTGAGCTTCAATACCAAGGATGCCGAGAAATGTAAGTGATTCAAGTAATTCATTTTAATGCGTTATTCATGACTTCGAAACTTTCCTTACTAACGGACGTAAGAATTGGAAATAACAAATAGAGAATTGAAAGACAAGAAGCAAGTCATTGGGACTTCTTGATTGTAATCGAAAGCCTTGTACAACCCAACGTCTGATAATCAAAAAAGGGGGGTACCGATTGAGGTGAGCCAGGTCTCGTTTAAGAGCAATGCATCAACGGAGCAATGCATGCATGCTTTCTAAATACAACATTCGAGATTCTCAAAACTAAAGCCAACAGAAGACCCTGAGAATTATCACAGTAATCAATGGAACAAACATGAGACAACTAAGCATTTTCTTACAGTAAGGCCAACTTATCACTGGTCCCTAAACAAGCTCATGGGAGATCGGATACCTGGCAGTCCAGGACCAGCCATACGAACACACGGAGAGATGGTAGCTATACGAGGAGGGCTGCATCTGAATGGTCATAATGCATGGCTGGGGGCTGGCGACTTCTCTGGTGGATGTATCAGCGGTATGGTGGCATTAGTTTTTAGTTGAGGCTTTTGTAAGTTAATGATCGATGCAAAGTGTGATCAGTCGATTTCCCTTTTATTGCTTGAGCCACTGATTGAATGATTTACTGACTGATTGATGACCGATTGACTGATTCACAGAACTGATTTTTCGATTGATTGATTGATTGATTGATTGATTGATTGATTCAGATCCTGACACCTGTGATGATGGGCTCTCATTTGAGATGACCTTCCGACTGGACAAGGATGCCCTGAAATACAACGACATGAATTACATCGTGGACTCAGGAGCGTCGACATTTAATTCTAAAGGCTTTACCCTGTACACTGTACACGGAAAGTTAAGGGCTGATTTAGCTCTTGCAAATCAAGAGTTTTGCGTACAAATTCCTGTGACAGTCCAAAAATGGCAAGATGTTTTGATTACTTGGAAGAAAAGCGAGGGTAAATAACATTTGGTGGCATGAAAAATAACACTTATAAATCTAAAACTTAAGCTTAAGTAGAACGTGTATGCCTAACATGGGAGCTGACGGCCCAGTCAGCTGTATTTTAGTTTTACATGAACACTCCTAGCGAACGGAAAACTGAAATACAGCAGTTAAACTTTATTAAATTATATGAAATAGTTAAAATTGAGGTAATGAAGTACATTGACGAAAGGCTATTTAACGACAAAACCTAGAAAACTAAACAAAGTCTCGACAGGATTGCGTTACCTAGATTGAAAAGCATTGATAACAGATGGCTGTTTTCAAAAGCTCTCAGGGAAATCATTTTATAATTTAATAATGGTTTTTAACTGTAAATCATCATTTTAACAGGAATGAAGATGTATGTAAACTGTGAACTGAAGGCGCACACAAAGGGAAGCGAACACTGCATCGGTTGTCACTCACGTGGGTGTCACGTGACGGACACTAATACGCTACTGATGATTGGCAGGCCGAATTATAGTCCACATTTTCACTGCACCAAGTTTGACAGTGGCGACATAGCATTCTGGGAGAAGTATCTGTCGGCGAACGATGTTGAAACGTTGTGTGGAGCACCCACAGGTGAATTGCACTATGTTTTAGCAAGAAAACCGAGTAAAAAGAGAAAAAAATGTAGCCATCATATTTTATCTTTAGTAGACACGGTAACAAAGGAGATAAAAAGAGACAGTGGAACAGTGAATTTCATCGTGGTTTAGTTTTTCTCTGTCTGACTACTCGATATCGAGTTTCAGACTGAGGTGAAATAGGCATACTCCCCAGACAATCGAGCTTGCACGTACCCAGGTTTCTAGACTTGATGTTGCCATGAATTGTACGAAAACTCAAGTCAGTTTCGTCTTTGAAAGCCAAACAAAATTGGAAAAAGTTCTGTATGCCCTCGAAGCTAATCGGATTAAACTTTTTTTCGGAGAGCTGAAGAGGAAATTGGGTGAAGTTGCGTGACACTGCGTATTTCCGAAAAAATCTCCAGCCTGCACAATATGCTACCATTCAATTCCCCATCATTTCTTTCCATACTTTTGAAATTACAGTAGTTTATTCTAAAAGTCATCGCCGGGACACCTCCCTAACAGCATCGTGAAAAAGAAATCGATCGCAGCTTAAGCAGATGCTGGGAATTAATACTTAAGAGGATGTCAAAGTTGACCTTTATTTCTCTGTGCCGTATCCATTTTCATGGAAACATTTCAAGCCCGTGCAACGAAGCGGTAAAAAAAAGATGCATCTTATAAAGCTTATTTCTGATATCGGATGACTTCAATTCGTTCCGGTTACCATAACAATGCAGGTTTACGGTTGATTTCTCTTACTTAAAATAGGAATTTTTTTGGTCTGCATAATTTATTACTGAGAAGTCTCGAACATAGAGGTTCATTGGTATGATAGACATGAAGATCGACTACAATTTTACCAACACAAAAAGGTTCTAAACGAAGATTCTTAATTTCAGTGCTTCATTGGACAGAAAATGATTTTGTTGATTTCAAGAGACTGGGGATATTTTGCGCAAGAAGTGAATAGTATAAAACTGCTTGCCTTTTCTATTGGCGTAATTGCTAAAATATATACACAGAGTATCGCGCAGAAGGCGGAATTGAACCGCTCCGACGCTAATCGGCTACAGGTTTGAAGCCTGCACCCCACACCAGTGAGGCTCATCCGCGCACCAGTGTCATAGTTGTACATTGCGTATTTATAATTTTCGAAGTGGATTTTTCCACACATTTGGTACGATTTTATGCGTGAATAATCAATATTCGATCATTTTTCCTGCAGTAACTTAGTACTCTCCTTATTTGATGGTGAATTTTCCGTAATCAAAAACATTTTGCAAAAATTTAACATCGTATTGTTGTTATAAGTAAATAGTATTTTTTCTGAAATTCCATTTACGCATGCGTAATGAACCGCATCACATCACTTGCAAAACAAGGTGTTGTTTATGGTAGTTATTGCCAAATTTTACACAGAATTTATTATTTCAATCTGAAGGTCTCAAATACTGATATTCTTTCTCGAGCGATAACATCTGAAATCTATTCATAGAGTTTTCGATTATTTTGCAGGTGAAACTGAAAAACCTAGCTCCGTGAATAAAGAGACCAATGAACTGACAATCCAAAGAGCACCTGTCAATCAAGCCTTCAATCAAGTTAGATATCCAGCCAATCCAATGCAAAGTTACGTCGCAAATCAACCATACTTTAATCGATATCCAGGTAAGGTTGTGATGCCAGAGATCAATAAGCGTCCTCTCATAATATTACTTCCTTGGTTAAACTCACCAAAATCAAATACTGTGAATCGCTTATTTAAATTTCCTGCTGCATTAAGACTTTTTAAAGCTGGTAAAAGGTTGGATCGTGAAGATCAAGGACAAAGAAAGAAAATCGTCTCGAAGTTATTTAAAAATCAAGTCGCATTTCCAAAAGTACCGTCAGGAACTATACCTCTTTCAATCATGAACAACATTCCAATTTTAAAGTCGCACAAAGGGGGTAAGTTGGTCATCTCACGATATAATTCGTTTTTGCTTCATAAACTATTCCCTTTTGAGCAAAACAAAAATAAATCGATCACACAACCGTCATTAAGTAAATATCGAAATACTCCTCTTTATATCAGACTTCCAAAACAAAACAGGTTCTTGCCAAACTCAATGCACCCTGTCTCTCGTGAAGAGCGCTTGGGTAGCGTTACTTTGCCCTCAGTTGAGACAAACACAGCAAGAAATCAGCCAAAGTTTTTCCCAGGCTTACAAATAAGCAACAGCAGTCCTTACATGAACCAAAACAGAATACAGTCGGATTCACCCGCTGACAATGCTTACCGAAAAGATCGAAAATTTCCATACCAGTATACGTTAAATCGTTTTATTTACCCTGAAAGGACCAAACTTTGGACAAACACGTCTCCTTATTTCAAACCAAAAGTGAACATAATAAATAGTAAAAACTTTCAAATCACCACACACTATACTAGATTACAGAATGATGCCTCCTTTCGGTCGCCACTTAGCAAAGCACTTCATATACGACCCCATCATTGGGAAAGGGAGCAAAAATTCAATTCAGCAGGAGACAAAGTTGTGACCGAAGGAGAATTAAAGGAAAAAGATTTATTTGGCGATATTTTGTCCAGGGATCACATTCGTCATAAACCAGGCGGTAAAAAGGCAAAAGCAACTAAGAAAAAATCGCCATTTTCAAAGTAGTTCCTAATCGTAGATTCTTTAACTTTTTAGTTCAAAAGGCAGTGTACATACAACTAAGAAGTAGCAGATAGAAACATCTAAAAGTACTGGTAACTTCACTTTGAACCTCACTTCTCAAAGAAAAAAAAAAAATATATATATATATATATATACATTTTTTTTTCTTAGATCTATCTTCAACTTAGACCGAGTTTTATGTTCAAATTAAGCTTTCATTTTGAATGAAAGTTTTTTTTTCAATACACAGTTTTGAAACTTCTTAACTGTTCTCCCGACTGATCTCGTTACGTCGTTACGTAACGTCATTACGCATACATAGGCACTCGGCAAAAAATAAAAGTGATGAAATGAACGAGGCCCAAACAAAGAGTCTGTCTGAAACTAATCCAAGTAAAATAGATTGACGGACTACAAGAATCCGCCAACAGTATATGGTGCAAAAAAAAAAGTTTATACCAAAATACTTTCCATAAGTTGCTTTGAGTGGAATGAATCATACCATTTAATATTAGTTTCTTGTGACATTCGATTTTTTTTCAATGAGATTTTACTGTTCCAACTGGTAGCACAATTTGTCTCTTTATCTGTTACCACTCCAGACTGATAATAAGGTTAAAGTTAAAGACTCTGGCGGATTCTTGGAAGAACTGTCTTCATATAATCACGCGTTTCTTTTAAAAATCTGCTGTATTGCTTTGCAAGCGTGCAATAAGCTAATTCATTCAGTCTAACAATCGTTTTATCTTTGAAGATTCTCTGAGTCGATGCAAAGTTTGGACCTGGTTAAAATACGTTTTAGAGCCACTACCGAAAATCAAAACACGGAAAAAAAATTAACTTCTAGGAAAAATATTTTTCAATTCAAGAAATAATGACTGAGAGCATGTTCAAAGGTAACAATGCTTGGCAATAACGATAGTTTTTTTCCTTAATCCAGTTTTATTTGCTTCTTAATAAAGCTAACAGCTATTAAAAATACGACGCATGTTTTGATGTTTCTGTTTTCTTTTTTTTTTCCAATAACAATTCCCCTGGAATTCTGGAGTGATAACTGTCCTTTGTCCTGTTCTTGTTGTTTTGTGTCTTTCCAAATAATGTTCCAATCTTAAAAAACCAAAGGCTGGCGTGGGTAAGATTCCATCGAGTTCACAAAAATATTCACCTCAAGAAATTTGTACCTTGCTGCAAAACCCTATTAGAAAATCCCTTTGTCGTTGAAAACCTTAAACTGTTAGTATTAACGAATCCACATAGCATCAAAAGAGGCAGTGTAAAATTCTGAATGGATTTTTCATTGTCGAAAATAATCCTGCAGAGACGTTATCCATGAGGATAAAATTAATTCCCTTGCGAGGCAAAATTCCCCTTTGTCAAGCTGCATTCTAAGCTCGTTGTCTCTGCCACACGGAGAACTTTTATGATCGGTTGCAAGGCTGCGCATGCTTGCTGGAAACTTTGTTTTCACAATAATATCCCTATCTTTTATTCAGGCCTATTACCCAGGGGGAGTGATGTGAGTCATCAACTGTTTACGCCTTGGAGTTTCTGGAGCGCATGCTCTAAGACCTGTGGTGTTGGATTTCGAGTTCGCAGGCGCTCTTGTATAAATCCAACACTCTTTCCCACTGGTGGACTGTGTAACGGACTTTCCATACAGCATCAATCATGTTTTGATCGAATTTGCCCAGGTAAGAAGATCATCTGACTAATTCTGAGTGCGAATACGAACTGTAGACAAACAAACAAACAGACAGACAGGCAGGCTGACCATCCGACTGAATTATTAAAACGACAAACCTATCGAATGACCCACTGATCGTTGATGTCATCTGCTAACAGACTGACTGACTAGCAGACCGAATGCAAAATTGATCAACCTGACGGAATGAGTAACTACTGAGTAACTGAGTGACTGATCGATTGAGCGACCAACCAACAAAAAATTTGGTCAGAATTCCTGGCTGAGTCATCTGAGTCACTGACTGAATATGGGACAGAATGATCTGACTGACAGACCTTAAGACAGATGGAAAGATTCAGTGACAGACGTGCCCAATTTCTGACTTGTTAACTGTTTGCGACACTGACTGACGAACTGACAGACTAAATGACGAATCAACTGAGTGACGAACCGCTAGATGACAGACAAATAAGAGGCTGACCAACAGAGAGAGCTTCGGATTGGAAATTGTTCCGCTAATCCACTGAAACCGACGAGTGTTGACCAAACTGCATTGTTGTTTTCTTTAACAAAATCTTAATTCTCTTTTTTTATATTTTGTAAACTGACAGCATATACCTCTCAGATTCTTCCAAGCTTAAGCCAAGGCCTAGAAGCTCAAAGCGTCAAGCTATTCGCTTTTAATCCAGCGACAATTTATGCAGGTGACGTAAGGAATAGCGGTGAAAAGAAAGTGTTTTTCGTAAATGTAATAACTCTAGGGTTTCACAATAATTATCAATTGTCTAGAAAAGCGAAGTTTTTATTTCTAACGATTTTTGGCTTTTCAAATATTTGTTTAGAACATCGATCTAAGGTAAATTCAAAATCAGGGCTACACGAATTAAGATTTCAATCATCAAATGTTAGGTCTGAGTTTGAAATGCTCGTCGCGGGTTCTTTTTGGTCTTTAGCCCACGTTAGTAACCAAAATTTGAATACCAGGTTCAAATTGTACCATCTTTCTTTTTTTTACTGACTTCTAACATTGTTTTATGATATTTAGCGTTTCATAACCCACGAGTCTCCAGCTTGCAACATGTAACAGAGCCTGGTCTCACTCGTGCACTAACTAAAGGTGAGTTTACACGTTCACCTTGATCCCACGCGAGACATTTCTGTCGTGGCCCTTACATCTTTTTGCACACACGCAACACGGATGAGAAAAAACAGATCCTACAAGGCGAAATCTTGAATGATCTCGGTATAAAAAGAATATACAATATATACAATATGCAAGAACTTAAGGACTCTCCTACCACAAACGCGTTTAGCGCGCTCTTTTTTAGTATGAATTATAGAGACGATTTTAAGACGTTTTAATTCTACGTTACTTTCAGTTTCCGCGAATTTCATGGGTTCTCTCGCCGGCAGCGTCGTGTACGTAAGTTTAAGTCGATATAAGCTGTGTTTTAACTTGATGTATTCCTTTTCCTTCTCTCAGATGGCGGATACAGTGATTGGTCAGACTGGGGTAACTGTGACAGGTCCTGTGGAGGGGGCGCTCAGGTGCGAACCAGAATTTGCAACAACCCCCTGCCCTCTGGTGGCGGAAAGATGTGTCATTCGTTAGGACCGGCCATTCAAGTTCGACGCTGCAACCGCCGTGGCTGTCCAGGTATATTTAGCAATCAATAACGGTTTACTCTTGACTCATTTAGGAATGGAAAAAAGACTCCAAGAAGGTCATGAAAAGAGAGGTTATTGTTGACTGAAAGGGTGAAAGGAATAGAGCCGTTTACATGACGTCTTTCTCGAGCATTAAACTGAGCCTCTCTTCCTCATCCGTCTCCAGACCTCTGGTTGAGAGACGATCAAAAATGTTGCAAAATTAAAGAAAATATTAAGACATGTACATTCTGATAGACAGTCTCGACCTTCTTACGGACGTTGTTGTACAAAATCGAGAATTCTTTATCAGAATGGCTCGACATTGTAGAACTGTGTGCAAAAAGGTTGCTCACAAGTTCTCTCACAATGCTACCCGGGAGAATTTCAACGCTTGAGACTTTCCCCAAGTCAGAAGTACATGTACGCGAATCTATATCCCTGAACTATTTTCATCTTCACCACAGTGGATGGAGGATACAGTTCATGGAGTGCATTTGGTCCTTGCTCTAAAACATGCGGCAGTGGCGGAATTCAACGGCGGGTTAGAACCTGTACAAACCCAGCACCAATGAATGGCGGGAAGTCATGCTTTGGGCACCCTGTGCAAACACGAACCTGCAGCACAAGGAGCTGCCCAGGTACTTCAGCTTGCTGTCAAAGGCTAAAATCAATGATTTAACTTCTCTGAACGGGCAATTGGGCAAGAAGGCCTAGATATTTTTTGACACTAGATGATGGTTCTGTAGTTGACTTGCATCAATGATCAGGGTAATTACTCACAGAGCACCTCACTTCACGGTTAACTAAATGTAGGAAGTGACAAACTGTAAGAGAACGTCTTACCACATGCTGTGCATGCTTGACAGGAAGAGAGAATGGCAAACCCCCAGACACTTCACTCCACAAAAGATCAAGAAGAAGTTTCGGCCAAAGCGAGTCTCCTTGATCCTACAAGTTACCCTTACCCAATCCACCTCTCTAATTTAGAGATTCCCAAAACAGATTAAAATTAAGTGCTCAGTTACGTCACTGATGATTCATCAACTGCGTTGTAGCGTTCTGGCAACTTTAACAGAGATTTACCGTTTACTTGTATAGTTGATGGAGGATACAGTATGTGGTCACCCTGGCTGCCGTGTGACGCCGATTGCGGTGGAGGAATTCAAGAGAGAAGCCGTTTTTGTGATAATCCCCGTCCAGAAATTGGTGGAAGAGACTGTACCATTTTAGGCTCAAACAGACAGACACGACTATGTAACCTGTTCCCTTGTAATGTAAATAGTTTTCAATAAAAATAAAAAAGTTAAGAGTTCTTAACCCTTTAACTTCCGTGAGTGACCAAGAAAGAATTTCTCCTTACAATATCAATACATTACCAATCAGATTAGTGATGAGATTAAAGAAAAATATCAATTTGGGGATAATTAGATGATCCAATACTAAATTCTCTGAACTGACATTATCAAAATTTTATGGTTGACAGTTAGGAGAATGACAAATTTGATCTGTGAAAGGGGTTTACTGTAAAAAGCCAAATATTGTTATAAACATTAACATGAACTCTGAGGTACATTTGCATGACACGAGTATTATCCGTTATCTTTATCACTAAGTTCATCAATTTCTTTGAAGAGTTGGATCTAAAATGTTAATCCTTGCATTCTGTGGTGAACCATATAAAAGTACATAACAATTCATAACATATCAATCATAATTTACTACAGCACCAATGCCTAAAGAGAGAAACATATTGTAATAAAATTTATTTCAAAACAAAACAATTACTGACTTTATATCTCAGTTTGGTGCCAACTGACCCCTTTCCACATAATTGCTAGTAATTCCAACACAAGTGCCTTAGAATTGGATCTGCCAGCCTGACCCAAGACAGAGATTTGTTAACTCAAGATATGAATTCAAGAGTAAAATTCACTGCTTTCATCGACATTAAGCTTGTAAGTTATCAGAAACTCTTAAGAGCAAACCACTGAGATCTCTTTTCAGTCTGTGTACAAAATAATATACACAGACCATTACTTAGGTTATCTTTATCAAAAAATACCATAATCAGTGCCATTTCACTTACAAGAGATTGAATAGCACCTCATAATTACAAGTTGTGTTCTATGATATCACAACAAACAACCATTTTGAAGCCCAATGTCACTACAGATTAGGGGTGCAAGTGTTTGATGGAATGAAGAATTGATCTTTTATCACCTCAAGCCTGCAAGATTCCCTTTGGATTATCCTCTTAATAATGGGAATTGGTAAGTTATAGAACAGTGAGTTATTTTGTTTGTTTCTATGCTTTAAGTGTATGGTACTGTATTTAAATTTTGATCAAAATGGTAAATGATAACCAAGCCCCTTTGCTGCTTACATCTCCACCCCATCCTCCCCCCCCCCAAAAAAAAAACACACAAACAAACAAATTAGGCTTAGAAGAAAAGGATAACTCTCCAAGTCTATGCAGTTGGAAAAGAGGGCAGTTTATTGCATTTGTTAATGACTAATGTAGTGGTAATGAGAAACTTCATAAAAAATATAGATTGTTGTTCACCACAAGTAAATAATAACTTTAGTCAATAATTCCTGAATAAGAACTAAACAAGTACTAACACTTTGTATCATAATCAAACCAGTAAATTACTGGTTATATGACCAGGAAAAAGCAATGGGCAGTCAGTTTTCAACAAAGCACTTTTTTAAAATAAAAAAGTCAAGTTTTCAATGACTCTGATACTGACACTTTGTTACATTTAGTAAATATTGCAATAGAGGCTTCTTTTTGGGTGGAAGAGGACTTTCCTGTGAAAGGAGAGAACTGTATGAAACCATAAATTATCTGTAAGTACATGCATGTATTCCTCTGTAAGCAAGTGTTAACAAAAATCCCCCCACCTACCCCCTAGTTTAGCACATAGATTTGAGACTAGCAACTTGCCTTGTGAAATATGTACGTTTGTAAAGGCTGATTTAAAAGCAAGTTGGAGTGTAAGTTACTGCTTCTTGCCATTGAAATTTGTTTTTTATCAACACTAAAAAAACTTAGGTAAAAATCAATCTTGGTTAGCTCTACAACCTCAATCATTGTGTGGGTTTAATTTATTGATTTTGTACTCTCTTCCTTTGCAATACATGGCGCTAGCATCATCTACTATCTGCAACACAAGAAAACACAAACATAGCCAGCTTGTGGCTTTTTTGAGGCAAAAAAGAACAGTTTTATACAGTTCTACAGATACATTTGTACATTTTCACTTTTGTTCTACCAGAACACACAAATGCGCAGCAAGAATTTGAAAATAATTAACAGAATTCTATAAATTTGATAGGATAGTAAGCCACAAATGCAGGATCTGTACACAATGGAAGATATGGCAAGGAAAACAGGATATCTATGAATTATGGAATCATGTAGCATACTGAGTCACATTATTTTGCAGGCATCAAGCCAGCTTAAAGACAACCTCTTAACAATTTACCCAAAAGGTAAATACAGGTTCATATTCTAACACAGTTAACACTGTATTGATGCTAAAAGTCTGTAAAATCTGGGGCTTTTGTACATCAGCATGAAAATTTTTTCCTAGATTTCTTTTTGTCCTTTTTAACTTTAATTACTCCAGATTGTTCATTGGCCTTTGCTTGTTGTTCCTTCTTTTGCCGTAGAACCATACGTGTTATTGCATTGAATACCTACAGACAAATGTGTTAAAAATGAAATGAAATAAGTCTGGATGCTTGCAAGTTCAAGAATGAATTTAACCAAATCATAAAGTTCAGACTGACTCACTGACTGGCTGAAGAATAAACCGGACAGAAGGACAGCCATACAGAATGGTTGGAACAACATGATGGAAGAAAGAGATGTCTTGCATAGCTTGTTAACTGGCTGACTGGCTGCTTGACTGACTATTTCAATGACTCATTGGTCACTGACTGATTGATTGACTGATTAGCAAAGATTGATTGATTGATTACTTGGGAATTCTGATTGATTGGAAGATTGATTGATTGGCAACCATTGATTTATTTATTGACTGGTTTAGGTGGTGATGTTTATCGATTGATTGATTCAATGATTGAGTGAGTGAGTGATTTGTTTGTTTACCCTTTTACCCCAATGGCCAACAAGCATCAACTGTGTAGTTTCTCCTGACAGTATCACCCTTGAATCCAACATTGAGGTCATGAGAATAAAGGAAATGTTTGCAGACTCAAGAAGCTCTTAAATAAAATGTATAGTGAACAATATGGAGAACCTTGTATACTAATGTTAAGGTGTAAAGGGATAATTAATTAATTTGTAAATTCATTGAACAACTGATTGATTTACTGACGGATGAATTGGCTACCTGACTCAAAGACTGATCTATTGATTGATCCAAACAACAATATCAACAAAACGTTTTGCTGAATTTAAGTAAGACCTTCTTAAATATGGCATTATTTAAGTATATGTCACTCCACAATATACATCCTTTAAGAAGCAGAAATTAAAGCAAAAAAAATTTTGTTGATAAAATAGCTAACAATAATGAAAAATAAAGACTTAATTAACTAAGTCAGATATAAAAGAACCTTAATCACAATTTACTGCATGTGTCTAGTTATGGAATTGATTCCATTACCAGAGTCTCTCTCACTACACAAACTAAGAGTGTCTCCTGTTTTGCCTAAAACAAATGCAGACCTGAACATACAATATGGAAGAACAATACGTACATCTTCTACATTTTTGTTGTCTTTTGCACTTGTTTCAAATACTTGGATCCCCATTTGTTCTGCAAACTTCACAGCATCTTCTTTTACAACAACCTTTTTTTCTGGATTATCATCTTTGTTACCAACTTGGGAGAAACAAAACAAGATCAAATTACAAAGCTGCAAACCAACTAAATACCATAGATATTATAAACCAGGTCTCCAAACTGCAAATTTAATCACAAATTATTTTCCAATCACCATGATGACCTAAACAGCTGCAGCTTGGAGTGCTGTCTGCAAGTTCTGCTCTCTTGTCACTGTTTTTGCTTTCATTGCACTGTACATATTAACTATTCATGGCATCAAGATTACTTTATGACCAGTAAACAAGAAAACCTACATGTAAATCAATACATACAGCGACTGGAAGCCAAAACACCTAGACCCAACTCTGGGTGACGCGAGGAACACGCAATATCAGCCCTTTTCAGTTTCTTCTATTGTAATGTAATTAAATAGAAAACTTTATCTTACATTTATTTCAATAAGACATGCATGTTTAAATGTAATGAGATTTGACTCACCCAAAATTCTCTGGACATCGTCACAATTTTGATCAATTTCATGCAGCCATCTTTTCACATTGACAAATGTATCAGCACTTGTTACATCATATACTACAATAACTCCATGTGTTCCTCTGTAATATCTGTTGATTATATGCCATAAACAAATAAAAGTTATTCAATATTTTCACCAGAGATCTAGCTCATTTAAGGAGGACTGTAAATGCATTGTCATACAGGACATTGTGTTGTTCATCAAGCCAAGATGGGCACACCAGTAGAAAGGGGGTAAGTTTCTTAAGAAACTGTGGTGCTGTGCTGTTGGGAGAGTATAACAGGGTAATTAAGTATAATCAACTGAGTTGATAACAAATCAGTCATCGTAAAGAGTTTCAAAGTAAGTATGTAAAGTATGTAAAGCTAACATTTCAAGCAATAGCCCTTCATCAGGGCAAATGAGGAGGAGCTAATGCTCAAAACGTCAGCTTTGAAACTCTTTATGGTGGCCAATTTGTGTTATCAACTCAGTTGATAATACTAAATTACATCTGTAGAAACCCTACCATCAGAAAAATTTCTTACTGCAATGTTAGTTATTATTAGATGACCCATATGGCCTTGCATGCTGTCTTGTTGAACAACATTAAAATTGGTATGAAGGCTGTGCATGACAGTGCAAGCCATGCTGAAAAAAATTGCACAGCCTGGCATACTGCTGCACAAGGTGCAGGATAAAAAAAAGGAAGAAAAAATGAAGAAAGAGACATAGCAATGCTTATTGACCACACTAAGTCACCCTGCAGAGGAAAAAATACTTAGTCCATGGTCACAATGTACAGACCTTGCCACAATCATTCTGAAAGTCAAGACCCCTGGCATAACATTTTCAGGTCCACCTAGTCAATTAGTATTATGTAGATATCCTTGTACTGTTTCCCTTGCTGTATGAATTGCCCAGAACACAATTAAATTTTTTTTGGTAATAAACATCGCAATACTGAATTCATCTTCCACAACAATAGACTAACATTGTGTAACTCCTCTTTCTATAATTTACAAACTGATACCTTTGTATTTAATATATCAGCTTTCTGTAAACTGTATTTTTTTAAAAATGCAATTATAACATGTATTACAATTAAAATGACATTTAACTGCAGAATGGTTCTTACGTTGATGTTATTGTGCGAAATCTCTCCTGTCCTGCAGTATCCCAGATCTGTAATTTGACCATCTCCCCATCAACATTGATCTTTCTTATCTTAAAATCCACACCAATTGTTGTAATGTAGGATCCTGAAAAAGTTTCCCAAAAGAAGACAATCTGGTCAAACTTAAGGAGCAACATACATGTATAATGCATAATGTATGTATAAGCAACAACCAGTGACTTAATCTAGTTGTGAAAAAATAAAATGAAGAGAAGCCAGCCCTTTTCAGTTCACTGGAAACTGCACAGTATTATTTTATGTCTGTTGCCCGTATAAAATTTTCAGACAAAACACCATGTTGTTTAGCCAATCATAAGTAAGCAGTAAGAAATTTACCTCACAATTCTGTTGGTCTTAAAAACTATTGCTAGTACATGCAAAACATCACCTGCAGTTCTGTTCATTTTTGAAATTACATAATTCAACTATAGAGATCAAAACAAAAATCTCATGTATATACCTGAAAACATATTATCTGCAAATCTGAGTAACAAACTGCTCTTTCCAACACCTAAGAAGAGAACAAAAAAAAAAAAAGGTTGAAGACGATTTCTGCACTTATTTGGTTACACTATTGTACACATTCTACATGTATGACTGAAGAGAGATCCCAGCATTGAAATAGACTGAAATTAACAACCTACCTAATTAATATCAATTTAGGAAGCTGATATTTCAACCTTACACCTCTGTCACCTTTGACTAAGAGTCTCCCATCAACTGACCCTTAAAGATATTCTCCCTTATCAGGGCTTGTACAGATTAAGAAAGTGCTAGAGCCTTGACACTACAGGTACAGTATCACACAAAAGTCATGAGGTCAAACTGACTTAGACACCTTGTTGGAATACCAAATTATTTTTCCTATTAACTGTATTTTGCTACTTGCTCTGCGCCCACATTGATCTTTCTGATTCAAATTTTAATTCTACTCACTTTTCATTAGTACAATATTTCAACCCTGTCATCGTATTTTCAAATGAAGTGCGCGCGTCAAACACAAGGTTCTATTTATGTGAAATTTAGCGTGAAATTCTGCTACAATCCCTCTAATCCTCCGATTTTATGTCCAAATTTCTGTTCTAACTCCCGGGATTTTGTCTTTGGTTTCCGTCATCATAACAGAGAAGCTTTACAAGCGACGTTTTGAGTGCCAGTTGGAGGATAATGATCACACTAGCCCAAAAAAATGCTAGAATCAGCTGTTTGTTAATAGTTTGAATGTTGTGAAACTCTTGACATTATGATTGTGTAAACATAACAGCTGACATAACACACCAAAAGAATTGCTTAGATATACCTAGCTCTACCAAGAAACCACTGAACTACTTCTATCGGTTACAAAATTCGTTCGCAATGTACGTCAGAAGTCATCGAAACATGATCATTCGTGTTACAAGCAGCAAATTACGGCCCGTTTGTTTACAAGGGCAATTGTGAACAGTAGCTCTCTTATCAGGACAGCCGAACCATATCAGGCTTATTTAGCATACGCTAAAAGACCTGGAAATTGCGGTATGATTTTACAAGTACTACGGTTTGTTCTGATGTCGTTGGCAATTTTTACGACGTTTTCACTATAGCTACCTCTTAGTCCGGTTTCCTTATAGTAAGTCACAATTTTTCTCTCACTCACCGCTATCCCCAATGATTAAGAGCTTGAATAAATGATCATAATCCCTGGCAGCCATATCTGAATACGCATTTAAAATACTTACACAAGCTTAAATAGAAAAGGGAATATTTCCCCTTTGCTCTCACAGGAAGTAAGCTTCTGTTAGGACTCGAGTAGAAGTTGTGATCACGTGGTACATTCGAGGTGGGGCTTAGCTCGACCCAGATTGTTATCAAGCTTACTTCAAAGGCTTGGCTCCCTAATAAGAGTTTGTGATTACGTAACCTGGCCAGCTAATCGGAACGCCTTGTAGTTGCTTTGCTGTGATAAACAGTTGAAAATAATTATGACCTTTTTATGCCTCAAGAGGTGGTGTTGTTTTGTTTGTAAGAGTCGTTTACGTGTTAAAAAAGGCTACTTACCGAAATGGCAAAGTTTTTCACATTACAGCGCTATGACTGGGAGGTGAGGAAGTTTGTGTCTCCAACAACTTACAAAATTGCCTTTTAAGGAAGTTGTTTAAACGCATTGACCGGAAAGGAAGATCAACTACATTCTCATTGTGTGCCAATGCCAGTTTTGTTTAAATAGAACAAAGCTATTGACTTTAAACGAAATCCTTTCCTCGATTTTAGAGAATGTGACTCAACACGTAATGAGGAGCAACCTGTTACGGAGCGGATTTGAGCTGCAGAAGCAAAACCTTGCCTAATTAAAGCGTAGTTTTTCATTTTCTTTCGCTTTTCTTCTCAGTTCAGCAGTTAATTTAGCTTATGAAAGTATAGATGCAACTACTGAAGGGGACGATTTACCACCTATAGTCATTTTACATGGCCTGTTTGGATCAAAAACAAACTGGAGAACACTGGCCAAGTTATTTAACAGGGAAACTGACAGAAAGGTAGACAATCTTTCATTATTTTCAATCACGTTTTAGTTGTTTTGTCATGGGTCTTCCTGTTTACACATTTTTAAAAATTACATGGATTGTACACTTGACAATTTCTATGCTCATAGTAGACAATGAATTAAAAATTATATGATTGATAATTAACTTTGGGATACAAAAACATTCAGGTGGACAGTAAAAACACTCTTTTTTGATATTCTCTTTGTTAGAGGTTGATGGACACATGCACCTATACAGAGATGTAAAAACAGCCTCCTTTCAGGCATTCTCTACATTTAGGGTTTCATCTGATATGAGTAGAAACCCTTTGATTCACACTGTTTTGTCAGAAGTTGACTGATGGGCAAGCAGACAGACAGTGAGAAGTTACACAGACAGTGTAAAGTGACTGAAAGAAAGAACTATTCTTCAAATTACAATTCCTTCTTATAAGAGATGATGACTAGAAGGCAGATGGGTAAACAGCTATCTAATCTCAGAATTTCACACTCTCCTACTACAGGTAGTTACTGTTGATGCAAGAAATCATGGACAAAGTGATCATAGTCCAGACATGAACTACTTTGATCAGTCTCTGGATTTATGGCATTTGTTTCAAAAACTGGAACTTTCAAAAGCAATTTTAATGGGTCACAGTATGGGAGGAAAAACTGCCATGACATTTGCTCTGTCTCATCCAGAGTTTGTGGACAGCCTTATAGTAGTAGACATGTCCCCTACAAAACTGTCTTTAGATGAGGATATTCCACGTTATCTTGCAACAAAGCGGGCTATGGATTTAAATCTCATCAAGGATAAGAAAGATGCTGAAAAGATGTTAATGGATGTTGTACCTGTAAGTGCAGTACATTAAATGTTTGCTTTTGACCCTTCAACTCTCAAGATCTGATTCTAAATTCTCCCATCTAGCTGCTACACATTTCCTTGTAAATTAGTTACAAGAATTTGGTGTTATATAAAGATAAAAAATTCTCCTGGTAAGTCTGAGGATTCTCTTTACCTGTTTGCTAGATAATGGATGCTTATTATAAGGAGAAATTATGTGCTTATCACATTTAGGAGTTAAGGGGTTAACTTGAAATGTAGCTCAAATGGTATGACAAATTCTAATTAAAATTCACTCTTTGAAATATTTTCTGATTGTTGGATACAGAATGCATTCTTGAGGTCATTCTTTCTCACCAACCTTATAAAAAGTGCTGCTGGTTTTAAGTGGAGAATTAACCTTGAAGCCTTGGAGAATAACATATCTGAAGTTGCTGGCTTTCCATCAAATTTTCCTCACCAACAGTTTGAAGGAAAGACACTTTTTGTTGGTGGAGCTAAATCAGACTACATCCAGTAAGTGCAATCATTATGTTCAACATTGCTCAACCTTGGAGAACATGTCTCTGTGTAAGCTTGTGAAATGTAATTGAAGATTACATGCATGAAAGCCATTAATTTTTTAAATTTACACGTATGTTAGATTACAGATTGAAGATTTGTAAATGTGTGCAGTATTTACAGATTTTATTTCTGCAGACTGATATTTTTAACAGTTAAAAAAAATTGACTGTTTGAAGAAAGCCATCTAGGTTCATGAATAGGGATGCTTTCGCAGGCATAGATACTAAATGATTATTTTATGGAATCCAAAACAAACTTAAGAATAGTTCAGACTGTTTTGTCTTAAATACTTTATAAAACACTAGAAATTTTGTAGTTATGCTAAATCAACTAAGTTAAAATCACTGACAGGTTCTGATTCATTTTCATTTTATGGATGTTTTTTAACAAGATGTTACCAGCCAGAGAGGAACTTAAAATAAGATATGTGGATTTTTGAAACCTGTTACCCATGTAACTGAATGGACACAATCATCCAGTGTAGTTCTTCCTGTCTGTCATATCAAATGTTAAGAACCTCACAATATTATTTCTTTTTCAGGCTAGAGGAGTTTCCTGCAATTCGTAAACTGTTTCCCAAAGCAGACATTAAATTTATTCCTGATAGTGGTCACTGGCCTCATTCAGAAAAACCAAAAGAATTTGCACAGACCGTGACAGAATTCCTAGATGAATGTTTACAAGATCATCATTAGCAATACTTGAAAGTAATAAAATGATCATTGTCACAAATACCCACAGGAACAATTGCTTTTCATTTTTTCCTGTATATTTACACCTTTTTAGTAAGAGCTTCAACATAACATTCATATTTATGAACATTTTTTTTAATATGCATACGAAGTATTTTGTAAAAAAATATATTATTGCCACTGTAGGCTTAACTTTATCTTCGGTGTTTGATCAAGAATATTTAAATTCAGGTAATGCAATGACCAAAATTATTTGTGCTTGTTTCCAGTCAGAGTAATGAGATATAATGTTTTTATGCATATGAATAAAGCTCATTTGTCAAAATCAATTAATTGTAGTTGAACATGTATTAGCAAAGGCAGAACTCAAACCTGTCTAATCCAAAAAGGTGAAAATTACCATTTATCTGCCAAATAATTCTCCATTGCTGTCAACGATTCTGGAATAAATATGATAAAAGTTTGAAGTAGGGGTAGGTCAATTTTCATGAGACTGGTGACTAATTAATGGTCACTGTAAAGAGTTTGTAAAGCTGACATTTTATGCATTGGTCCTTTGTCAGGAATTAGCATACAATCTCTCAATAAATTTGACTACACAATTCAAGACAGCAATTAGGAGCCATCAAGCTTGATTCAATTGATTTGGGTTTGCTGATAGAAATAGGATAAACAGCCCTTATACCATGTTTCCTTCTCCAATGAGTAATAAGGAGATGTCCAGGAAATGAACATATGCTGCCCCTACCCCCTCCTTCTTGAGAAGAATCAAGAAAATGGCAGAACTTTTTACACCCAACATCAGTATTTATATTCTCCATAATGTCCTTTATACACTTCTTAAGATGCTGACAAGGAGAGAATTTCCAGACATGGAGAATTTGTTACCTGTTTCTTGTAATAAATATGTGTCATTTCATTTTTGTTTCAAATAATTTTATTCTTTCAGATACAGAGCATTAAAACAACTTCCTTGGCAAGAACCCATTCTTGTAAATTAGCAAGAGTGTTTCTCAACAGCTGCAAAATTAATTTATCCACAACTGTGTCATGTACTCTTAAACACCTTCACAGCCTGGGATGACTTGAAAGTTGTTGTACTAAACACTTTGTCTTTCTTTGCATTTCTACCAATTTGTGCTGTAAATTATATCAATTAAAGAAATGTAAAATATTTAGCCTACATACCGGTAACTAAATTTTGTCATTTTTTCTTGATTGTGAAATATAAGGAAAAGAGTTTATGTGAGCATTTATAGCCACTTGAAAAACCTACACCCTACCCAAATTACTCTGCTCATTGGTATTGGAAGAAAATGAATTTATAGTTCAGTATGGTCTGTAACATCATCTTCCTCATCATCATCATATTCTTCTGTTTCACCCTCTTCCAGCTCCTCTTCTTCCGGCTCTTCTGGCTCTTCCAGTTCCTCTGGCTCATCTGGCTCTTCAGGAACTTCACTCCTGGCTTCTGCTGACTTAGGCAATCCATGCTTTTCTAAGAGTTGGGATATTTCATCTGTCTTCATCTCTGAAACATCTTCCTCCTGCATGGAAAAACATTGGAAGAGGTTGATACCAAAACAACAGTGACAAAAGTTTGTGAGAATCATTGAGCTGTCAGATAACTAAGAGGTGTCAGTGTCTGTACAGTTATTAAGAGCTTTGTCAGATAAGGTAAGATTGGGACTTCTAGCAAATGACACTGCCATGGTAAAACAGTTTACTCACCAGCACCACCTTGTTGTCAGAATTTAAGAACACCATGGTTGGGTCTTTACCAGGAATGTACTTAATGTTCACATCATGGCTATACATCATAAAGGAACATAACTGACACTTTTTGGTACATTATAGATGAGAAAAAAATGGTGTTAAACACATGTAAATGTGAAGTCAGCAATTGTACCTAGTCCCTCACTCTGCTCAAGCTTATTCTTGTTTCCTGAGCATGAAGCAAAAAGGAGTATTGTCACCTCCTTTAGACAGATGCTTGTCCAATACAGGTTACCTTCCCCTCCCACACACACATGGACACTCCCACCAAAAAGTCATTCCAAATTAATGAAAAGATATTAGACGTGCTGTATGGCAAAAGTTCCTATTCCTTAAAAAAACTGTTATAGAGGGGTTGCACCATAATTTCAATTTGCATCAATGGACAAGAATACAAGGATACTGGAAAGGCAAAAGCTTTGAAATGAAAGCCTTCACCTGTGGAAAAATATAAAAAGAGTATTTTTCAGTTAAACTGATAAAAGACATAATATGAGCTAACTTAACTTTGGTACCACAATAACAGTTTTTATTTGTGCTGAGGACTTGACTGATTGATAACTCTCACTTGAAAATGAAGTAAACTACCAAAAAAGCAAGTTCAATTTCTATTTACACATTCACAAGATAGGTAGAAACTTGTAACAAGACTCCTTTTTTTTCTTTTTAACAAAGCTTACTTAAAAGCAAGCAGGGAGTAAATCTTACCTCTGGGAGGCGATTCAAACGTCATCCACCACAGGTCTGAGAAAAATATAACAATTAGTAACTTTGAGACCAAGTGTGTGTACATATTTTTTTTAAACCCTTAGTTGTATAAAAAAACTGATACCTTAAATATGCTGGAGTAGTTCTTAAAAAAAGTTTACACAGCTGTATCAATAAGCTTTTTCCAAAATACCAAAATTCACCACAATAACAAGTGCACAGATGCACACAAAAGAAATAATAACATGCATATTTTGTTCCCTCTACTTCTGTCCTTGAAACCACTCCATCAAGGGAAATATTATTCAGTTGAGAAACATGGTAAGTTCTCCAGCTTAGTATTATTCATTTTGTTATGAGCAAGGAAAAAGAAAAAATCTCAGTTCTCTTGATGAATCCAAGAGTCACTGACAGACTTAGACTCGTGTTTAAAAAATCCATGATTAATATTTAACAATTTTAGCTACACATTTTATGCATTCTTCCAGAGTTGCTGACCAAAGTAAGCACACTATGAACAATATATCAAGAGGTATTGCAAACAGTGACCAAATGGAGAGTTTGCCTGGCCATGGTTTTTCAAGATATCATTCCCTGACCCTATCTTAACTTTATCTTACACTTCCAACAAAACAAATAATTTAAGAATTTTCAATTGATTCATCCCATGAGGTTCATATGTGCCCCTTCTCAACACTCAAAAGAATAGCCATCCCTACAGCCACCCTCCTTATAAGATTTACCAGGCTAATTCCCTCGCAGCCTAACGGAATAATTATCTCATATTGCTCTAGGAACAGAAAAATTACACCATTTCTAGCCAATGAAAAAAGATGAGAGGGTTTCACCACAATGACCACAGACAATAAAATATTAAAGAGGTGAACGACTTGCAACAAAAGAATCAAGGACTACATGAAAAGTTTCCTTTTTCTTTCCGATATTGCAGTGCGTAATCATTTTAAAGCGATTTTATCAATTTTGATAGATCCAATGATGAGAAAACTTTCTGAGGCATGCCTAACTTTAATTGACATGAATAATCTTGATGGCTTCTGGGCAGACGATTAGTACAAAGAAGGAAGCTCAATAATTGACAAGGAATAATTCACGCCTTCTAAAGTTGCAGTTATTTTACCCTTTAGGAGCTGGACGGCTACTTACGTACAAAAAATACTTTCATTGAATGAGTTATTTTACTGGAGGAGCAGAGAAACCTGCGCCACTACCGTTCCAACAAAGAATCTTACAGCTGTTTAACAGATCGAACCTTCCACTCTTGAAAAGTCGGTCTGTTTTAACATGATAAACAAACAGGCTGACTTCAACACACCTCTAAACGGGCTCTCACAATAGTTCCATTGCCTGAATCCTGTTTATCTTTGCAGAATGAAACTGCAAAAATAGAAAGGAGAACGAAAGCAGAAAATGGCGATACGCCTCTCATTCTGCCGTCTCGTCGCATCCAGCAGTCTGTTATTGTTGAAAGATGATGAAAACGTGTTCCAGTCGGGATGGTTCAGGGGTGTTCCGATACCGGAACCTAATTTATGTACGAGTGTTCCCGACTTGTGCCGACTGTTTCACGAACTTGCAGCTAAACACACCAGAGAACATACCGGTCAGTTACGCTGGCACGAGGAACGTCAAGTTATTGGGAAGTTTTCCCTGAATTTTGTAAAACCATACAGAGGGGTTCACTGTTACTACAGATACAGGTCTAAGAGCCTCCTAAGAGCTACACTCTTTGGTGCAGACCTACAACACTTTGTTAAATTGTTGAATGCCTCGTATCTCTGCAGATGTCAAGAGCGGATTAAATTCACCCAGAAATTCAGCTCAATGGTAACGTCTGGTTAATTTCCTTTCCCTATTAGTCATTTCGTGTTGAAAAGACGAGTAAGTTTTATTTTAACACTCCTGGCGTTCCCTTGTAACCCACACCTAATTTGAACGAACATACTCAAAGTCTATTCCCCTTTTTAGACCAAGAATACTTAGAATCACAGCCTGTGGGGTGACATGTACCTATAAATCCTTTTCATGGGAATAACCCCTCCAGGACCTGACCCACAACTCGACTGATGTGAAATGAAGAGGGACTGGGTTTGAGATGATCATCGTGCCTATGGGCGTAGTGAGTTAGACATCCCCTTATGTATTTGTGTGAACCCTCTTGACGATGAGAAGGACAGAGCGAACAAGGCTGAATACAACCCATTAGTCTCCATCGCGCCTTCTCTGGAATTCATGAGGGGAGCGTTGCGTGACAACCCACTGAACAGCTGCTAGGTGGATTATTCAATCAGTAATAAACAAGTTGATGTATGCACCCTGACATCAGAAAAGTGTCATTTTGGCGACACGAAAAATCAGAAATAAGGAAACTACTGCATCATTTATATTTTCATTTTACTTGTATTGTCGCATATTTGTTTGTACAATACACTTCGCCCTCTTTCTGTTCCACAGCACCCTGAAAACGAAGTCACTTGACCAGAGCAGTTTTCAATTGACTTACGACAAACCAAAACCGAAGCAATCACAACGGCCAATCATAACAAAGATAAACACCATCATTAGCCAATTAAAACTCAAAGTAATAACAGGTAAACTACCAAAAGGGCGGGAAAACACTGTTGACGAGACACGATTGACTTATACTTTTCGTCTGATTGGTTCAGAGAATGGCACATATGTTCTCGACCAATTACGGCGCAGATGGCTGTTGACAGTCAATTGAAAATTTCCCCAAACTGACTTATTACTCAGTAACAAGTAAACATATCAGAGTATAATAGTAGAGCTGCCTGTTCGATAAGGAAACAATATACCTAACATAGAAATTCAAAAAGCTACAAAAATAAATGCCACTTCTGTAAAGGATAGCATGCGTCAGAACCACTTTTATAGCGCGGAAACCTCACAAAAAAGTTAATCGCGAGGTCACGCAGGCTTATGAATACCGTAAAAAAATCAAATGAAAGGAACCGATTGATTTGGTATTTTTGTCTACTGTTTTACTTTGTTTGTTATAAATACTTTACTAGCAGCTCTGATTCGTCCCAACGTATAGTAGCTGTGAGCTAATAAATACTTAAATTTATAATGAATCAATAATTATGAGTTTAGCATGGGCTAAGTAAATTATCAACCAGACATTCTTCGGTTTACAGACCTCAACTTTCCAATTTTTGATAAACCAAATGTTTTGGTATCAACACAAAAAACTAATTGAAGCAATTTTAGGGAACACGAACCTGTACCATGTCCCTGCACCTCATTAACGGGTGCCTACAACTCGACGAGCGGGTACCAAAATATATTCAATTTATATAGTATGATTACTGAATTCGATGGCAAATTAATGACTAACATCAAGCATATTTGGACTTTTGTGGCTCTCGATAACAACATTTTAAAAACATTACAATAAAATTAAGAAATGCTAATCTGTTTTCCACATGGCACTCTAGGTGTAGCTTGTAAACAGAACTAGACAAATAAGTTAACAATTGTCACCGAAAGTCATCAACAATGAAAGATCATATGCAATACGTTGCCGTTTACTTGCTTTAAATAACGATTTTAAATAACTATTTAACTGTTTCCACTAAGTTAGGGAAGAGGACCCCTTCCTTCCCCCCTCTCCCCCCCCCCCCGCTCCTACCACCACCCAAACATTTCAGAGCTGGATCGGAACATTAATTTTATACACAACTACAATTACATAATTTATGACCCGCTGCTTGAGTGTTACACCAGCACATGTAGCTGGTCTGTTACAATGAAATATATCCATTCATTATTAATAACTTAAAATTGCCCAAAAGATGTCTACAACGGCGACGGATAACAATCTATTTACAAAACTTAACACTTTGTAGTTGGTCATCTACTGCCATTGCTTTTTTTAAGCGTCGTCTGTTGTACTTCCACCTCACAATACCTTAAAGCTCTGAGCTTGTTAAATAATAAAGAACATATTTCCTAAGTCCATTCATTCTCGGTTATGTCGTTTGCGTTACCAGCGTTTATCCTGTTTTACTGGTTCTTGATAAGGTCTTGGACTTTTGCAACCAGACCCCGCGCGACCTTCAGTGCCGCCTTCGCGTTATGACGCTCAGCCATTTCTAAAGAGACGGCAAATAGTTATCAATCATACATTGTAAATCCCGGATATAACCCTTGGCCTTTACAATTTGGTAGACTTTTTAAAATGGGGGTTGACACCAAGGGAGGCTTTTATAGTTTTATACAAGATAGTTTCTCTTCCCAACTTGATGTGATCGTTTTGTTTAAGTGATTTCATTCTTGCGATGAAGGTTGAGACTTTTGAGTGGGGACTCTTACAAAGTCCCCACTATTAAAAAGGGAGGATCGGGGGGAGGGGGTGAGACGTAGATGGGGCAATAACTCAAGAGACATATAAGCGGGAGTTAAGGCGGGGGAGGGGGAGAGATCAGGCAATAAGGGATAGGGGCAGTCTTATCACTTATGGAAATAGATTACAATACCATTGAAGAACTTAATGATGTCTGTGAAGTCCATTTTGTTGTCCAAAATGATATCCCTGTAAGACAAGAAGGTAAGATTTAGAGTTTCTCATCACATTAAAACACTTCTTTTCATACTGAGACAGTGAGATATGTTTGATATTGATGGCTACCATTAAATGAAAGTTACTCTTATATTTTTTTAAAACGACAGTTAGCCAACTCATCTTTGGTAACATCTCCTCGTGGATTCGCTTGCCTGTTGAAAATTCCGTAAAAAACGCCCGTGCCAAAGGAAACAGTCAAAAATCAGTTTTTTTCCTTTACCTGTAAAATTGAAGCAGTGCAAGGGCGATAAAAAGAACAAAGTGTTCTGAGGCAAGGTGTCTAGCTGCCCAGATGATTTCCCACACTACAAACACGTCTTCATAGAGAAGTTCTGTAAAAATATGAACACGAAAGCAAACCATCATAACTAAACTGTTATGATTCACTTGACGTCTGTCTGTTTGCGCCTGTCTATCTGTCTTTCCATCTATCTTCTTGCGTACTACTGTACGTCGGTCAGTCTATCGGTGTCTCCCCGCCTGCATGCATGTCGATCTGTCTATCTGTTTGTATCTACGCACATAACTCCGTCTGTATGTCTATTGTGCTATGTCAGGGTGTGTGGCCACAAACCTCGTTTGAAGTCAAGAAGGAACCATCTGTAGCAGAAGTAGAAATGTGTGAGGTCGCCATTTTGCTGAAGATGTTCGAACATTTCAGGGTCGAGAATCTGCAAAAACAGTGAGACAAAAACTTAATAACTCCATGTACATGGTAAAAAAGCGTTGATATGATATTACTTACGTAAGCTGCTCCAATGCATAATCGATAAAATGCAGGAGTTTTCATCGCTCTTTTATCACTTGGATCGAATGAATTATTTAGGTACGTACTTGGATCAAAGATCTCATGTTTGCAAAATGCGTGTCCATAGCTCCGCCGTGTGGGAAGTTACTGTTCATTCTCTGCATGAGATCCACGAAACAGCTGTAGGTTATCGCCTCTGAGAAAAGAAGAGAAACACCTTTACAGTCGCGGAAACGACAAAAGATAACTCACAAATAAACAAGGATGACATGAGAAGTGTTTACAACCCTCCATTCTTTTTTGGTCGTTCTGCATGAGTGCAGCAACTTACCATTGTCAAAGACGACAAGCAATGGGGCAACGAGATCACACATCCCTTGAACGTAACCAACATCCAAGGTCTTCCACACGTAACTGCAAGTAAAAACATTACAGAATCAAACGCGAAAATCACCAACACGAGTCATGATACATCCTTCACTTGACTCGGAAGATGACTTTTACTCAGGCACTCCAAGCGTCAGTCGCTAGGTCCGCGGACGGATCAATGTCAGTGACTGATCAACCACGCACCTACCCCTCCCCTAACCCGGCATTAGCCCTAAGTTGTTATCAGTTGACTGTTGCGGGGTTAGGGGAGGAGTAGGTGCGGAGTTGCTCAGATACTAACATTGATCCGCTCGGACCCTCTACGGTAACCCATTCAAGAAAAGTGTCGATTTTGTAACCAAGCCTTACCTGCTAATGACGTTTCTTAGTTTATCAAGGTTTTCGTGAGTAAAGTATGGATAATTTCTATCACATCTCAAGACATCTTTCTCGATTCGATGAAGATTTAAACCAAAGTCATCAAGGAGATCAGTCTGGGAGAATAATCGGGCAAATCATTGAAGATCAGTAATAACAACTATGAGCAAAGACATCGTTTCTCAAAAAGTTGTTTAAATGATTATAGTATTACACACGTGCGTTTCTTAACAGGTGTTCTTGTTCTTATAGTATATAAGGGGGGTATAGCGAGTCTTCAAAAGTCGATCGAAGGAAAAGTTAAAATAGCATTGAATCTGGACCTTGGTAAGTTCTGCTAGAAATCACAAAAAGGCTAGCCAAACATAACTCAGTGCCTCCCAGTTTTCACAGCATGAAGCAGTTGAAGGGAGGAATTCTTTTATGCACGGTAACTTCACTTCAAGTTTGTAACGTTTCCTAAAAATTCGCCTTCATATTCAGTGATATTCCTTGGTGAAGACGAGAAGCAGACAGTGTCATCAAGTCTAAATTATGTAGGCAAGCGCCAAAACAAGCTGTATAGACACCTCGATCTGACTACGGACACCTACCTCTGATCTCAAGTATCTTGAAAAAGATAGCTACTCACCGAGTATGGACACGATGCTCTAGACCCAATGCTTCCCTGGCTACATTGTTTACAAAGGACTGGGACCTCCGTGTCCGTGTCGTGACTGGTCTGCTGTGACTCCTCCCGCGCGTTGGTGTCACTGTACGTGGAATCATGGCCATTTGGAACGTGACCTGTCCCGTGACTGTTCATTTCCACAGCAGAATGAAATCTCTTGCTACATCGCTGGCATGTTCTTGACATTGACATGAACTTGCCATTGTCTTCCCCACAGTCGCTACAACACCCACTTTCGGCATCATCGCCATTTTTCGCTGGAATAATAAGCTGTCCATTCATTAACCTGGCTTTTGCAGCCTCATCAAGTCCTTCAATCTCGGGTTCCTCGATACTGACCCTCTGACGATTGAAATTCTCAGATTTTTCTAAGCCGCTACTGATCATTTCCAACTGTTCAAAGACTTCATCTCTACTGCCTGTGCTGTCCATAGAGATACCATCCATTTCTTGTTCTTTCTCGTGCTGTCGAATCACACTCTCTACTTCTTTCCATTCCTCCATGATGGAACGAAATTCTTCGTTAGCAGCCTTGTCAGTTGCCTGACGATCTTTAGGTGTGCTTCCAAATTTGTAGTGTCCCAGTAAATAAGGCCACACCTTAAGGAAAGATGTAACATAAAATACCTTCTCAGGCAAAAACATTCTCATGCTCGCTGGTTAGCAGTGATTAAATTTACCATGTTGATGATCTTACCTCTTTTCTGATGGAGTGTTCTACTCCGCCGAAGTAGACATACTTCTTAACTTTATCCTCGTCATTAACCTGGAAGATGATCAGTTGGTAAAAAAAATGGCAATTACTTTTGCAACTACGGCTCCGGCTCGAGAAGTGGTCTCTAGGATACTACATGTGAAGCTCACAATGCATCGAGACAAGCTAGGTATTTTTTTTTTCTCATACAGCTACTTGTTCATGCTATGTCTCTTTCGCAACCGTCGTTTTGACACGTCATGCAACGCGCTTATGAGCTAACAAAGGTTCCTTCAAGGAACCCAGTGACCAAAGCATGTCTAAATAAGCATAGGATAAAAGTTTAAACCAAAAATGTGAGCAAAAACAATCAGAGAAATAACACTGTGTAGCTAATCACTTAACAAGAAACCTGAATTTCTTGGAAAAGAAGAGGGAAAGATAGAAACATAGACTAATGACTATTCATTATTCTCATCATCCAGCCACTGGTGTGTTTATCTCACCTTGAGCCAGTAAGCCACGAGAAACAATCAGCGGCAGCTAATGGGCTCCGCAGCGCTTATTAAAACTCGTTTACAGGCTATCTCGCTTCATGCAAACGACTAAACTTCCTGGTAACATCTGCCTAAAGCGCTGTGGCATGACCGGCGAAGCCGCGAGAGACGAGGTAGCTGGCGCAAGGAGCCGGCGAAGGGCCTGGCGCGGAAATTGCTTCCGTCGCCATCTTGCAAACGAAGCCGACTTCTCTCGCCGCTCCTCCACTCGTACCAGAGCCTGCTCAGTTCTAACGAAAAAGATTTTACCTTTCCATTACTGCACATGCTTCTCCATGTTTGTTCAGTAAGTCCCTGGGCGTAATCGACTCCGTTCTCTTCGGAATTGGTGTTGCTGTGATTAACTAGCCATAACAAATGCGTTCTAACTGTTTTGAGGTGGCGCACGTACGAAAACCCTGATGAAAAAGCATGAACACTTATTAAGCACATAAATCACTTCAGGAGTTTTAATATAACTTGGAATCTACATAATCAAGGTTAACTTACATCCATTGAAAGCTCTTAAAGTGATTTGTCGTCTCATAGTTTCGCATGCAGTGCTGAGACATTCCCTAGTAAACAAAACCGCACACAAGAAAATTATTATTACTATCATCATCATCGTCATCATCATTATTATTATCATCAACATCAACATCGTTATCAACATCATGTCATCGTCAAGGTCATCATCATCACCATTATGATTATTTTTACCGTCTGCGTCATCATAACGCTATCATTATCGTCATAGTCATCGTCATCGAAGTCGTCACCGACATCGTCATCGTCATCATGACCGTCATCGTCGTCATTGTGATTACAGGGTGAGAGACGCGTTGGCACTGAACTCAGAACTCAGAACTTATGAGAGGTTCAGGGTTCAAGCGCTGCCTAAGTCACTGTCCTGTGTTGTTGAGGAAGACATTTCCTTTCTGATAGAGCTTCTCTTCAACCAAGAGTATAAATGACTGCCGGTGAGCTGTCGGGGAAACCTGATGAAATGCCAAGAACTACTTGCCATGGATTGTCATATGTCTAGAGGGGACGGGACGGGACGGGAGGGGATGTCAATACGCCGAGTCCCTTAATGTTACGGAAAACAGCACCAGCGCAAAGGGCAGGAAGTGTCTTCCTCCTCGAAAAACTAAATGTAGGCTTTTTTTGTCGTTATTGATTTGCGAATTGTTGTTTAAAAAAAGTGCTCCAGAACTAACCTTGTGTGAGGCGAGGATTGTTTCTGGTTTCGTCTAAAGCTGGACTGTAACCTTGAACTTAGGTCCTGACGTCTCCATGGTAACCCTCCTTGCTTCTTGGAAGATCTTTGGGAGGACCATCTATCCATTTCCTCGGACACTGAAATCATAGCATCGAGTATGAACAACAAAAATATTAAGACAACAAAGTACATTTATCATTTCTTTATTATCATTACTTCAGGACTAACTTATGAATGAACACAAAACCTTTCTATCTTGTGACAGCACCATGGCTTCCTAATGTGGTTTCATTAGCAAGGAGGCTTTATTGGAGCAGGGGGCGGGGGACTTGACGGAAAACAAAAATCCAACTAAAGCGGCAAAATGCAATGCCTTATTTGAATTCTGAAGTGTCTCCCAGATTTTACGATTACCATATAATGTATGCGTCTCTTTAGTTTTCAAGTACAAGTAATCATGAACTGAAACACCTGGGGGGGGGGGGGGGGGAGAGTTGAGGGGTGGGGAGGGGAGTACTTCCTAGTAATAGAATAATGGGGATGTGCCGCTAGAGGACGTCGCATTTTTAAAACTGGATCGACAATGATGGGGTTGCATTGTCAATGGAGTTATTAGAATGGGGTCACTCATTTTGGGATCTTAGGGAATGGAAGATTCTGGTAACTAGGGATTTAAAAATGGGAAGATTCACAGTTAAAGATTGTTACTGTATTACCAAAAGTGACTAACATGGGGTGTATAATTGATCAAGAATATTTTATAGTGAAGTAGGGGTTCTGAGAGACCAGCTGCACAAACCCAGCAAAAAGTGACCTTGGTACACCCCCCCCCCCCCCCCCACACACACACAAAGGCTGAAACACAATACAATTACTTATTCCCGTGAAGAACCCTTTTCGAACATGTCTGAAATTGTCAAATCATTAAGTACTCACCAACAACATCAGGTTTTGTTCCAGAAACAAGTCTAAAGACATAATCTTGATTTGTGTTTTCTCCTTTGGAGAAAGACATCAGTGGCAAGTTAGATCCTGAAAGTGGTTTCTTCAGGCTGGGAAGGGCAAGGCCCTTGGAGCGTGGGTTAAACAATGGAGGGTCGAGTTCACCATGAGGGTGGAGACCATTCTCAAGACAGTTTAAGAATGACAACAGAGACCCAGTTGTAGGAAAACGGATTGGTGGACGCTGGACTCCATCTTGTCCTATGAGAATAACCACTCCATAGCCACCTGAAATGCAATCAATTTTATTTGAGTATCAGAAAGTAAGAAAGGACTGCCTTGGTTTTCCTTTAATCTGCTCTGTGATTGGTCTGAAAGACTTGTAGTAACCTCTCAACCAATCACCTACAAAACTAAAACTTGGTAACTTGCATTTTCCTGTACCTCTAGCAATTTGTTAATTTATACTTAAAGCTCTCATCAATTCCTTGAGAAACATTTCTTTCCTTTGTTCTAATTGGCCATTGCGATTATGAAGTAATACTTGGTTTTGGTTTGGTTTGTGAAAATCAATCCAATGCACTCTCTACAAAATGTCAAATCCTTAACAATAACAGAACTTAGCTTCAAACTAATCACTGGATACTGAATCTTACATATTTGTATGTTAACCATTTACACCCTATCATCAGTATCTACATTCTCCAATCTCTTCTTGGTATATTTCCTTTAGTATTATAACAAGGAGAATTCCTTTAACAATGAAAAAGCTTCTTAAGTTGTTGATAATCTCCTTTATTCCCATGATCTTAATGAACAATTCAGAAGTACTACTGTAAAGAGAAATTTGATGCTGATCACTCTTAAGGTTTAAAGGATGAAGTAAAATTGTTGTAAGCTAAACAAAGTGTATGTCCTGTACAGCCTTACCATGCTGGTGACAGTGAATATACACCACATCATTTAAGTTCACGGTCAGTGCATAATCCCAAAACTGGCTCTTCTCTCGCTCACAGGAACCACTCATCAACTTATTAGGTGTCCATTTCAGCAGCAAACTCTCATTGCTTTTATGTAGTGACAGGTATCCAGCAATTGGGTGTTCTTCATGCTGTGAAAAAAAAAACAGTTACACAAATGCTAGGTAATTTAGTATTTTTTGGTCAAAAGACTGGAAATAATTCATAGCCATGAATACTTTTAATTATCAGTTAATTAACTCTATGTGCATGAAGTTGTACTTTTTCCAGATGAAAGACAATCAGAAATCAACTTTACCAATAAAGAGGTAAGACTGTAATAATTTCCCACACAATTAAAACTGTCCAGCTAGCAATGCAATTTTTCTTTTAAACTAAATTCCAAACAAACAATTTATTAGCAGTAGAAGTATTTTAGACCATCAAAAAAGATAATTTATTTCAGTCCCTCCATCCAGAGTAATAAACCATAACATGCACACTATTCATGTATACAGATTGTACACAGTGTACAACTTGTATTAACACATCAATCAAGTCACATAAACCAGTTAAATCATTCTCCATTATCAAGATCAATGGCCAAATGAATGAATGCATAATGAAGAACTCCTAACCAACATAACATCTCAAAAAAAAAATTACGAAACCATAGGTTAAAATCTACCAAAAATGTTTAAGTTTAAGGATATCGCACACATATCTCAAAGAAGTCATGATCCAAGCTTCAGGTCAAATGAAATTTATTTCATTACAACTTGATATCATATCTACTCACTGGTTCAAGGTAGACATTGTTTTTCCCATACAGGAGGGCAGCATGCGAGTTCTGGTGAAGAGACTCTATGTGTTCTCTTGCTAATAATGGGGCCACTGCTAAGTTTTCATCATAAGAGGCCTTTGTTACACCCAGCTGTGGTCGCTGGGATGTTGGTGTTGTAGGTGACTGCTGACATAACCCACTGTGTATTCTGTGCCTTTGAACAAGCTCATCCGCTGTTGGATCAGTCCAATAACTGTCTGGTGTTTTCATCTTTGAAAAGTCTAAAGCACTTGGACCATCTGTGTGTAAATTTAATAGGAAAAATACAATGTAAAACATGCTTTTTGGTTAAGCAAAGAAGATTAATATTAATAAGAGGAAGCAGATGTATGCGGCATTATAAATGGAGAAATATCTCAGTCTGTGAAATTTGGCCTAAAGATCTACTCTACATAGAATTGGTGCACATACATATGAATGATAAAAATAATTATGACATTAACTATTACGTTCCCAAAGCTTGTAGTCAACCACCATGTAATGTGATAAGCAGCAGATCTCTGTGGCTTTAAGATTAATTCCCTCTTTGAAGTTCAAGGTACAAAAAGAAAAAACAGCCACCTTTTATCAAATAACTATGTATATATCATACATTCTAAAAAACATTTTCAACAATAACTACAGTAACTATGTTCATAAAGTGGCTGGTTTGCAGATCATCTGTTTGTTGGAAGCACATAATAAAATTTTGTTACAGTACAATTTGATGAGCTTAACCACATAATTATGTGAAAAGCTTTGTTTAGAGCAAATGTTGTACAAATAAAATTTGTTGAAAATTTAAACCTTGAATATGCATGAGCAATTTAATCTGGAAATACACAATCAAAACAAAACAAATTAATATTTCAATGACATACTGCTCGCATACATATGACACATCTTCTATAGATATTTCTATATGCTTGGCAACAGCTTATTATCATTCATGTCTTGAATAAAAGATGTTGTTTTATCTTTGTCTTTTATCTAACGATACAAATTTAAAGATACACACTCTCAAAAGTCCTCTCAAAGTTTCACTGAAGGCAATCAAGATATTGATTATGGTACTCAAAAGTCACAGGTCAACATGAATTTAAACTATTTCATGTATTTTGGAACACAAATTGATTGATTCCTTTAAAATGTAAATACTAAGCTCACTTTTTTTTCTTTTTAACACTGCATTTTAAACATGAGTTGCCAAAATAACAATAATCCCAGACAAAACTGCTAAAAATGGAAATGAAAAATATGTTAAACTAACAAACATACAAATAATTCAAGTTGCAGGTGACTATCTGTAAATTTTCAACTTTAGTACATAAATTTGATTTTCTGATGAAGTTGAAGAAATTTGATTTCCACTGGTTTTACTTATTACATTAAATGTTCAAGTACCTTCAACCTGAACACTTTTTATTACAATGCAAGAGAAAATTTTTTTTTCCTCAGATGTTTCTTTTTGAAAGCAAAATGTTTTTTTTTATGGTTTTAAATTTTCCTTTATAATGAGCCTAACAATGGTTGAACTCTTCTGAAGAAGAGGAAATACTAGAATTTTTTCCTAAAACCTGTTTTAAATTATCACTTATTTCAGGTTTTCATCTCATCCTTCAGTAATTTGACTACACACCAAATAACTTGGATTTTTCACAATTCCTTGGCCAGCTCAAGTTATTTAGATTCAACTGTAAATCTGTTTGATTGTGAAACAAATTCTCCTTTCTGTCAACACTTAAAGAAATATATAGAGAACAGTATGGAGAATATGAACAGTGATGTTAAGGTGTAAAGGTCAAGCAGACCACTATACAATCACTGATGAAAACAGTTACTAATTTTGTGGCAACTGACAAATGGGGATCAACAGCAAAGTTCTCCTTCTTAAAATGATGATGGCAAAGAACCATAAGGTAATCAATGTAAGTTGCAAGTGTGTGCAATGACTGATTCTGATGCCCCCACATAAATATGGAACTTAAATTATCTCTGTTTAATGAAAAGAAGCAATTTGGCTGGTTCCTATATGTCTCCCCATGTAATAAATTCTAACAATAACAATAGCCACTGAAAAAAAACTCCAGAAACAAGTAGATAAATTTATGAAGGATCAAGATTGCTAAATGAGTTTTCTGCATCAATAACTGCATGTTTTTGGTATGCAAATAAGGAAGAAACTTAGGCAACTAATTAGCGATGTGCCTACAAAATTACAATATTTGCAAAAAATAATAAACTGAATTTATGTCTAAAATTAAATGAATAGGACCTTTCAGTGGAAATAATAAAGTATCAAATGTATTTTTTAAATATCTGTTCTAAAAGACAGCAAGAAACATTTATATAACAAAATCCAATCACTCAGACAGAAGGTCAAAGTACATGTAAAACAATGAAATGCTTAGCTGAACTTTCCATCCATTCGACAAATGATATTAAGTAACTTACAATGTTTTAGAAGTAAGTAAGTCACATAAATTTTAAGAAAAAACTTCAATCAGTCAGTCAGTCAGCAAAAATTAACAAAACATTAATCTAAGGAAGTAAGGAAGTAAATCCTTGCAAGCTCATTGTAATTCGCTTACCTAAAAGTTCAATAAATATTCTTCCATCAGCTGGATCACTAAGTAGGGCTTCAGGCTCATAAAATTGACTGCAAAACATACAAATTACCTTTCATAAGTTCACTTCAGTGTCAGTATCTACCACCACTTGTGCTTTGTGGCAATTATAATAGCAATTATCACGCCCTCTACGTACAGTGTACATGAAGAACACAAACATATGCAGTAAATAATACATTAAAAAGCAATTAATGCATTGATGGCTTTTTTTTCCTCAAAAGCTTTTGAATTGCCCACATTCATATAAATGCCTCTTAATTGAACTGTTGTGACCTGTCAAAACAGACCTGTGATATTACTGTCATACAGAAAAGCAAACAATAACAATTCTTTACATAACATGCAAAATCATTAATTGTGCAAAGTTTGCAACATGCTACATGTATCATTGCAGGTTGTGGTTAGTTTCAAATTCCATCTTGGCTGATTTTGAGAATTTTGGGGAGGCCAAATTATTGATTCAAATACATCTACCTTAATTTCATTAGACACTGGAAAAGTATTCCCACCCAATAATTTTTCATTCTTGGTAAGTACTGGACATGTCATTAGGGAAAAACATTCAAGTCAAAGGGCTCATTATAAGGATTTGGGTGGCAAAAAGGGATGACTTTCTTGACTTCATAAGAGGATAAATTAGGATCCTGCATGGCCAGTGATTTAATATTGCTTACTGTGAGTGGAAATATAAGATAGACATAACATTTTTTTTTAATTAAAAGCCAATGTTTGAAATTCACCCAGAGTTTTTCTTCAGCTAGGTGAATTTCAAACATTGGCTTTTAATTTCAAAAAAAATGTTATGTCTATCTTACATTTCCACTGACAGTAAGTAATATTAAATCACTGGCCATGCAGGATCCTAAATTAGCCTTTAATGAGGTCGAGAAAGTCATCCCTTTTTGCCACCCCTTAAGAAAAAAGACATCCACAGATAAAAATCAGTGGTGATCAAAAGAATAAAACAATTGGCAGGTTATTGTCAAAACCATGAAAATAGTAATAATGATTTCAGTTTTGAAAACTATGAAAATCAAAAATAAATGTGCCTCTCACACTTAGTTTTGAAAAGAAATGTGAAACTTGTTTCTTAGTTTTAATTCATAATTCTGTCACGATAATTGGGAATTTTTTTCACCATATTCTTAGGTGTCCTTGTTTTGCTCTTGTCATTATTTTTTTAATCCAAATAAAATATTTAAAAATATTTACAATTTTAAGTTACTATATAACCCTGAATAACTACCACAGAGGAGACTGACAAGGTAAATAACTTAACCCTTTTCATCCCAGAAGTGATTAAAAAGTAACTTCTCCCTTCCCTATACTATTCATAAATCAACCAGCATAATGGTAATGAGAATGCTCAAACTTATCAAGTGGAAGTTGTTATCTTGATCTGAAACCAAATTCTTATAACTAATTTATATGGTAATGTATAGCAGCTTGAGGGGAGAAGTAACAATCAGGACTTGGGAGTTAAAGGTTTGATCTGCTAGATTATCAACTTGATAGTTGTCAAGAAGTTCTCAAACTTGTATGTTGTGTTATTTCAAGATACTCCACTCCCCTTACCTTGCATTATTTTGAAGATCCTCCACAATTTTTCCCAGCAACTTTTCTAAAAGAGCTATTCTAATCCACAAAAATTTGCCACAATGGCCACTGATGTTATATCCATTTATCTTCTTGTTGCTTCCATTCAATGCAGAGAAGTTTAATTTCAACTTGAGTAATGGGCTTTCTGCAGAACCTGATGAGATAAAAAATTCTGTCAGTTGGAAAAATTTTTAACTGAATATCAAAAGCAATGGGTGATTCCATGTTGCAGACATTACGTTCAGATACTAAAATTAACATTTTAAGCCCCGATTTAAATGTCAAAATGCTCAACAAGGGTGTTCAAATATATCTAAAAAATACCTTTAGTATGCCCTTTGTACCTAATAGAAAGATGCTTTAGTGAGCTCTCGAGACCTTGAAGGTATGAGTTGAGGAAAGTGTTTTGCTGACATTACATTTTAAACAACCACTTTTTAAAGTAACTTTCTTTTAAGAGATTTTCCTGTGAATCTTTAACCTTGGGCAGAAAATAATTGTGCCTTCAAAACATGGCAATAATTAAATTTTTCATGTATAAAAAAATTCCATGAAACCTTGTTCCAATGATTCTACAAACAAAAGTGTTGTGTTGCTGACTGTGGCTATGTTCATTTGTTTTGTAATTACTTATCTAAAAATGAAGCTGTAAAATTATCATTTACTTTATTTATGTTCTGTTATATTTACAGAATATTGTACAAGCTTTATTTTTCGCGCTGCATATTAAGTTGTGTGGTTAGTCTGGAGAAGTCACACCACACTTTCAACCAATCAGATTTAACTCAAACTAGTCTTGACTTGCATGGTCTGACCCTTTGGTCTTTAAGCTTGTACAACCCTTTAACTCCTAGGATTTGATTGTTAATTTTTCCTCCTGGCTGCTGCACACATTTCCCTATAAATTAGTCATGAGAATTTGGCATGAAATCAAGATACCAACTTCTACCTGATCAATATAAGTTTTCTCATTAGCTGCTTGCTCAATAATTTACAGACATTAAAGAGAGAAGTTACATGTTAATCACTTCTGGAGATGAGGTGGTTAGAGGTCTTCCAACATATCAACTATTATTCCTTGAAATATACCTGCTGATGTGTTCTTAGTTCCATCCTTGCTTTTCTCCTCTTCCCCAGAGAGTTTCTTGACCAGTTCAGCAGCAGGTTCTGATAAACGAGCAAGCTTTTCCAAAACAGCCTGGGTGTCCTGGGCAGGAAGAAGACCAGCGGCTCTTTTCTTCAAGCCATGTGCAATGCCTGCCTCTACAGCACCTACAAAAATGTCACAGAAAACTAAACTGAAAACAAATCCTTAAAAAAATGGTAAGAAAATATATTCAAACCACAATAAAGCTCTGGGGAAACATGCTCAGTTCTTGGTCAATCAATTATTTCTTAACACTCTAACTATCAAGATCTGATTTTTAATTCTCTCCTCTAGCTGCTACATATTACCTTATAAATTACTGGTAAGAACTTTGTGTTAGATAAAGATAACTTCTACCTGATAAGTTTAAGTATTCTCATTACATGTTTGCTGGATAATACATGGATATTATAGGGAGAAGTTAGGTGTTGATCACTTTGAGGAGTTAAAGGATTAAAATTCATCTCTAGGAGAAGGTCTATTTCCCCAAGAATCTATGACTATTCATGATCAAGTGAAAAAAGTGGTAATGACATAGTGGATCAATTTGCCACAGACAAAGAAATAACACATAACACTTTGAGATATCCAGTATACCAAGTACAGTGAATTTTAAATTGATTCAATAGCTGCAAGCATAGAAAATTACAAGGTTTCAATGAATCCTTTTGCATGACACAAAGCCATAGTAGACTTAATAAAGTACGCCCCCTCCCCTCCCCTCCCCTCCCCCTTTCTGACCCATGCATCAAAGTGACATTTCTAAAGAGGGCCATTACCTCAATGCAAGTGAAACAGTGAACATGTTGTCCCTCGATAAAAGAGAATTTTAATTATTCACCGTGCTGAGTAACACTCCCACCAACTTGCATTTTTTCTACTGTTGCCAATTTCATTTTTAAAAGGATTAGTATTCTTGGCTGTTTGAATTTTCAGTGAAATCTTTGCCTATCTTTGATAATTTATAACTTTCCTTGGCTATCAAAATATTAAAAAAATGTCACGCTCAAACTCAAAAAATTTACATGAACCACTTCTCTGCAAATTGAAACAACAAAACTATAACAGTACATTTTTGATGTTAAGAAGATTGGATGTTGGTTCCAGTCTAGTAGGCACAAATATGTCTAGAGGATAAAATTTAAGATACATATAATTATAAAAATCGAGGAAATGAAGAGACGTGAACAGCATACCATTGATTGAAACAAGACAACTCTTGCAAAAAATACAAGAATTATACCTTGCGTGCCTAAGTGAACAACGATAAAATTAAGATCGTGCCCTGTGTAAACAGTGACTTGATATAAAATTCCATTTCACGAATTTTATAAAGGTTTTGATAGGTTTACATCATTTTTCAAACCATACCCACCGAAAGGAAAGTTTAAAGTAAGATACTTTAACAAATTCTCCTGTAATGAAACTAGTATTACGAAATGGCAACGGGGTGCAACATGTTTAAATTCTGCATATTAATATAAAATTTTCCGATATTGTCGGTCGCGAGACACTGCTAATTTTATTAGGAAATAGCAATTTATTTATCTGGATACAAAGTGTTTTATAATTTAAAAAGTTAAACCAAAAAACATCACGTTACATTAATAGTTAAAAATCCTCCTGTATTTTTTTTTTTTTTCGACAGTCGATAAAGTATTTTAATCGCATTTCGCACAAGTTCACAGCTGAAAGGCAAATCTTGGATTTTAATGAGCAATGAGAGGTTCTGATTAAAAACCTTCGAGCGCAGCCTGTCAATTCAGTTTAAATAAGGCTTGAATTACTCTTTATTTTTGATGTGGGCTGCGTTGTTTGAAACCCCCTTCAAAGCCGCAAGCAGAGTTTATTTGTTTTGAATTTTTGTGTTTGATGCCTGCAAAAGCGCGTATTTGGTCGACTTGCTACTTCCGTACGAGTGTTCGCATACAGGTGAAAACCATGTCTGATCCCTGAATCAAGAAATAAAATTATGTGACTCTGTGAAGCTTACTTCAACTAAAGGGCGGGATTGTCCGCTGAAGCTAGAGTTGCTTCCGCGTTTTAAATTCCCGTTTTAGCAAGTATACAACACTTCACAGATCGACCGCGAAGGAAATGTTTGCAAGTTATACCCAATCAAAACTAACACTATACAGAAACACTACCAGAGTTTTTACTACCTTAAATATTTTTCTTCAGCCGGCAAAATAGTGTCGGAAACAAATGCAATATTTCTTACCACAAAGGGAGGTTATACTAGAGCTGTCTGCATGAATAAACTTCCTTGTGACAGCTTCTTCCATAAGTTGTTTGACCTGGGAATCGACAAAACAGGTCAACATTTTTAAAAAGACGAGCATTTCTATCTTTTTAACATAACATTGCCAAGGAAACATGAACATACAACTTTTCCCAGTGCATGACTGCAAAATGGAGTAAAATCAAGATGTGTATCTTTGAGCGAAGCGAAATAGAGCTGTGGAATAAAAAAATCAAGTGATTGATCGCTCGACGTTTAAATTTCACGAGCGACAACTGCAATTCGCTTTACCTCTTTTTTGAGGTTTTCCAACAATTTCTTTCGCACCTCCGCATCTGAAAACAACGAAAATAAACCTCAACGTTAGCCTGTCTTTTTCGTTGCAGAAAAATCCCTGAAAGTGCCATAAAACACTTGTTCTTCGCGAATTTCACCTTTCGAGGGAGCCATCTTGCCCTTCCGGAGAACAGCATAATATGAATATTCAATAAAAAAATTCTGGACCAATCACAGCACGCGGTTAACAAGATTCTTACAGAATACATTATCGGTTCCAGCGGGTTCGCAAATTTTTTTGATTTTTGAGAAATTTCTATTGGTCAGAACGTGAGTAATTTTCCCTGTGTTTTCATTACGTTTATTTGGTTTTACCTATTTGTGTTTTTGGCCCTTTTTCTCTTCGTGAACATCTGTCAGGAGCCGACAACGCTTGCCACCGATAACAACGAGCTGTGCATTCGGTTATCACAGAAATTAAACAAAAAAAAAACCTTTGAAATGGAAATATGGAATTATGCAACTGCTTAGATCGGTAGATGAGTCTGGTTTAAGATTAGGAGATACCAGCATTTAGCGAAAAATTATTGCTGTTTTTGAACAAATCACCATGAAAAAAAAATTGATATCGCGAACTCAAGCGAAATATTTATTGTAATTCTGAAGTGCTTTCAAAATACTCCTTTGCGACAGAAATGAAAATATTATTTTGTGACATGTGAAGCTTGAAAACGAAATCTTATTTGTAAGAGTCGCGAACCTAAATAAAATCGTTTTCTGAAGAAAATTTAAATGAACAGGCCGGAGTAAATTACTTTCAAGGGTATGATTAACAACTCGATGTCACTGACGAACATAAAACACTTCTTTGTACTAAAAATGTAATTTCAATGTATTATTAAAATCCCTCCGGTTGTCTGATTCAAAATTTCAAAATAAGAATCGTCTGAAAACAAAATATCGCGTAGAATTTGTAGCGTAAGATTTGTTTTTAACTCTCTCAGTGGAACCAAGTTCGCTGACAGCCGACAGCCCGACAGATTTTTTGCTTTCAACGATCGATTTATTCAAACCAGCGACTCCATATTCTATAGCAGCTTTTGATGGGAGATGTTCAACGTTTATTATTTTTTTAAGATGCGTAATTTCCAAAAAAATATCGATTAAATTTTGAAAACCCGACTTCAAAAAGACGCCAAGTTAAAAGGAAATATTCACGTTTGCCGTGGCACTCGGTTTACACCAAATCATTCTGGAAATGTCGCCCAGCTTAGCATAATATATTCTTAAGCGTGGGCGAGGGGCAGATCATTTGAAGTTAAAAAGGTCTGGTTAGAAGGAATTTATTTGTATTCAAGTCACAATGCTTGCTTAAAGCTCAAAATTAGCATTAAAATGGCATAGAGATTAACTGAGCAAGAAGATAACTAACAATGAGAATGCGAAGTGAAAGCCGGCTGACCGAACCAACAAAACCAAGAAGAAAGGCTTTTCCTTAATTGTTTTTTTTTTTTAACAGGAGAAAATTGAAGTAAACTGTGAAAATGAAACCAAACTTTAAGCAATTTTACTCCTTCAAAAAACCTTTGCAAACCCAAAAGAAATTTCTTAACAAATGCGCTCACTTTCTGCTATTCCTCGTTTTGTTCTGAGCCGTATTTGGCAGTTTGCAGAGATTATTTGTCAAGTAATTATGAATTCAGATGAGTTTCCAGTTTAGTCTACCGCACATGATACCATTAATGATGAAGCGAAGGTTTATCAACAGACAAAAGTTATTATGCCTCGTAAACATCAATAACGAATTCTTTAGAACATAAAGTAATCCTTTTGTCTTCGAAAAAAAGTACCAGACGACGTCTTATTTTGGACTGAAACGTCCGCGGCAATAAGAACACTTCCAAATTCTTCTGGGACTATAAGTCTCTCGGCAATCGTATGTACCATTACAAAATTCTCTTGAAGGAAATATTTCGAAGATAGAAATGTTAGGGGTGGGGAATTTTGAACGCTTCCCGTCCCTACATCGTGAGTTTCTGTTCGTCAGTCGGTTCCAGTTCTCTCGTGAAAATTTTCACACGTTCAAAGCCTTGAGAGACCTTTGGAAACTTGCGATAAATAACACATTTTCATACCTGGATCTTCCTCTTCCATGTCACCTAAGAGTGTCTTGTCGCTTGGCGTCCTGTTTGGTTGTATAAACTGGAACAACAGAGCGTTCATTTTCAAACGCGTCTGTCTTTACGCACCCCTCGGTAACAGAGATTTTACACCAAAAGTGCTGACTGCTTATCCCCAGATTTGAAGCACACAGTCCCTGAAGACGTACTGACCTTCCATACGATAAAATTTCTGTAAGACGTGTTCGAAATGATTCAGAGTTTAGGTGAAAATCCATTGCTACGAATACATTGATTCCATGTTGTCACGTTACGAGAAATTAGAAAGCAGAAATCAAGAAAGCTGACAAATTGCAATATATATTCCTGCTCACTGCTCTGTCGTCTCTTTACATTTGCTTTATCATTCGTTTTCCCGTTATTCTGCAGAAAAAAATGTGCCCGTAGAATTACAGGCTGAAAAACGCCACAAAAACTTCACTATGTAGCGCGTTTTGTTTGTATATCCGTACGCCGGGATATGAATAATGGATTTAGTTTTATGGGGCGAAGATTGGATGTTCAGACTAGTAAAAGACTGCTGGTACCTGTTGAATTAAATTGTTCTCGTTTGTAATACGATTAAATTTTACGAAATCTTCAGGCTAAGCCGGGACCACAAAACTCCTTAATCACCAATAAGAATCAGGATATTTCAAGCATTATCCAGTTGGTGTCTTCAAAGTATTTAATTGTGACTGGATCAGAGAAACAGATTTTCAAAATTCTGTGAAGCTGGAACTACACCGGATGAGATTTCTGCATACCGCGATATTCCGCTAACGACCGTTCACGGAGACAACGACAACGCATGCTCTTAGCTCTATGATACAACACAAAAACACTTAAATTGATTTAGAGTATCAAACGGGTGCTGTAAAAAACATCAGGCATGAGGAAAATATTCATTATTCACCAAGTAATGCTGATAACAATTGTTGAAAAATCTGGCACGAAAGGGAAGATTGTTATATTGATTATATATTGATTATTGTATTGCCCGGATGAACACAGAATCAAACACGCAGAACTAAATCTCGACGGATCAACAAAGTATTATGTTGGACTTTCATTCCTCGATCTAATATTTAGCCGCTGGGTAATTCTCAGCAAAAAGTGGTATTGTAAGATTTTTAAGCATTTCTACCGAGCCTTCTGTTGCAATGTAGCCCATTGATTTCATCACATCACGGCAATATCTCTCAATCACGTTCACTGAACAGGAATCTATTAAACGTCGCCACTTGTTCAGAATCTCCAAAGAATTTCTGATAACAGATACAGGATTTCGCTTCTCCGCCCTTAAATCCTTAGCGCTGGGCTGTGTTATGTTTACAATCCATTGTTTGATATTTTCTAACACTTCAAGTCCAGCATACTCGAACAAAGACTGCAAAACGGTTAAGGGTGCCACCGCCAAGTCTTCATATCGCACCAGTCTTACACGACTGCGAAGCGATACTGGAAGATTTCTTACCAAACGAAGATTTGCCTCCGTCATCTGACAACGAGAATGAACAAATTGTCTCATCGATGACTTTTCCCTTCTGTTCACTTCTTTGAAAAAGGCTACCCTCTGAGAAGACATTACCACTGGTCTTATATCACGTAATAAATATATGATTTTGCACTCTATTCCCGCCAATTCGCAAGTTTCAAAGAGCTTTTCGATTGATTGGCCAGGAATCCTTTCCAAGAGAAGCTTATAAACAATTGTATCATGTTGTTTTTTACACGAATGTTCAAGATTTTCTTGTGTTACAGTTAAACAGTCTTTTCTTCGCCATCTAGGATCTCCCTGTCTAAAGTTACAGAATGGCGGAGAGCTCAGGGCTCGACTATAGAACCGAAAAAAACTGCCGATATCCCGCGTTGAATTCCCCGCACTAAAGTCACACTTGAAAATGTGATGAAGAAGATTCATTGCAATTTTATCATAATCCTCAGGTTTTGTTCTCTGAATTCCATGAAGTGGCTCAAACACGTAAAATACTCGTGGATGTTGGTTAAAAATGCTGGCCAGAAACGTAGAACCAGATCGGCCATGAGCAACAATTAACACAATCCTTTGCTTCCTCTCCAGAGCCTTGTCCGTCGGCTCAACAGGAGCCCACGGTATCGTGGTCATCGGCTCTGTCAATGAAAATAACCTCTTCGAAGCACCAAGTAGATCCTGGCTCAGAACAATGTGTTGGTGCACTGACATATCAAGAAAAGCAAAAAATAAACCCAATGAAACAGCAGAGAGGACCAACAAGGAACCAAAACCAAACTTAATTTTTGCCCATCTAGCCATTGTTGTTGATAACACCGATAACTGAACCTCTTTAAATGTTTCACCACAGCTACAAAAGAAATTAAGAAATACAGGACTGAATCAACCGACATATGTCCTTGTTAGCCTTCATATAATTGAAATTAAATACCGCATCGTTAACGTTTCAAATTTGCATCGATCGACCTAAATTTTTAATGTCTTCATGTTTTCAATAGTTTCATCCCCAAATAAAACAGCAGGTTATAAACGTATAACTACAAATATGTGTCATATGAAGTTGCACGGGGAACAGCACCAACTTCCGTTGTTACTGGGTTAGTTTGTGCATGTAAACAGTGAACAATTCCTTCAAAATATATTTTTAGGGAACTAGGTTCAAAATCAATGTAAATGAAGTTTCAACAATGTGCTCTCATTACAAAGTTTCGTTCGATAAAAACTTGTTAAGGAGAGTTTGAAGGCTATTCTAAACTACATACAACAAAATTACGCAGTGAACTGCATCGAAAAGAGTTGCAAAGGCATACTGAGAGCGATGAAACGCGTTGTTTTTTTATTGCTCGAATCGTGATTGTTAAGTTGGATTGTTATTTCGATAGCTGTATTTGACATGTTAAGCAAATTGTAAACTATTTCACCAGAGATTAAGTATGTTTTCAATCTTTCTGTATTGCACAGAACCAGGAGCCCAAGTGATGGGCTCCTGACAGAACTAATCAAAAACATATCACAAAGATTTCAGATGAAACTGCAAACAAAGACCACAGAATTTCACCAATGCCACAATATATTTATTATTTGGTCTGTTTTACGTACCACTCTCCCACACTGCAGGTGGTAATTTTCAGTTCGCATCAATGAAGTCAAAAACACTTTAGTAAAATGCGTTACCATCTGCAATAACATTTGTCCTCATTTGCTATCGATCTGGCCCCTGTTGTTCGAGAGATGGATAACGCTATCTATTGGATAAATTTCTATCTGGTGGATGCGCAGTACGTTTTTTTTAACACTTATCAGCTGGATAGCGATTTATCCATTGGATAGTGTTATCTGCCCTTTCAACACCTGGGCCCTGATCACCAGCGTGGGCCTTTTGGCATTGAAGGTCACGTGATTACGGGGAACTCCAAATATGGTCAACTCACTCTGAAACTCCTGAATGATCACGTGGGTAATTCTCCTTTCTAACTGCAATACATTTTCTTAGAAATCAGTTGAGAGATTTTGTCGGTTACCTGAGTTTAATTTTTTTAGTAATTATTATAGGGCTCCACAAGCTAGGTTTGTAACATCTTAAGATAAATTTAGCAAGTCTACACGTGTATTTCAAAATTATCGTTGCACAAACCGATTTGTGGAATTGACGTGACAAGTTTCGGCGAAACCAAGTGGTTAAACGAAACTGAAATCATGAAATTCATGGGTGTAATTAAGATCAGGTTGACGAGGGAAGTCGAGTAAAATCCGAAAATACCCGAGGAAATGCCGAGTGCTCATGAAGAAAACCGAGCTAGTATACTCCAAGATAAGTAAAATCGAGAAAATACCGAACATTCACGAAGACTTAGCCGAGCGTTCGCGAAGAACACCGAGATTGAGATTGCCAAGGTGTTAGGGATAAGAAAAGTATAATCGAGTTAGTACTGAACATTCACGAAGACCTAGCTTGAGATTTATAAGGTGATTGGTTTAATAAAAGTATAATGAAAATTTCCGGATGTTCGTAAAAAAAAAAAAAATGAGCTTGAAATTTCCTTAGCAGTGAGGAAAATTGAGAAAAAGCCGAATGTTCACGAACCAAATATGTATGGATTGTCTAGGTGATAAACACACGGTTGGAGATGCTACTTCTCTCATCGCCGCAGGAAATTAGTAATTTCTTCTCGTTGACAAAACAGCTGATTGTTCTGTACGTGTTGACAGGCTTAGATTTCCATTGTTCACTCTTAGGGTTAATTTACTGAAAACGATCCAAGACCAGTCAGAATAGTGTCGTTATAACTTTTCTCAGGTTTTTCCATAGATGGAACATACAATCCGTGAACGATAGTCTTTATCACCAACTACATTTCATTGTTAATGCAGTGTTATTTCACATGACGTTTTAATGGCATAAATTTGTTTCAGAGATGCAATCGATACATCAGAGAAAAACATGATACAAATGAATAATACAAAAAGCTTTCCATTTACTGAGTAAATATCTCAATCAAATGTACAAGCTGTACTCCTTTGAAGAAAACATTCCAAAATCTGTTCATTTTTGACAAGGGAAAGTTTCACTCTAACTGACCAGCCGCATATATTTTTAACCCAACCACTGAGAACGGTCATAAAAAAGAGAAATTTGAAACGTACATTGCAACTGAGGAAATTGAGAGAAAAGCACCGCTATTTTGATAAAGCATTGAGAAGTTTGCTAGAAATGTGACAGCTATTTGGTAAGCAGCTACATAAATGTTGGCTTAGCTAAAATAGTGTTTTGGAAGCAGATGGTCGAACAAGCACATTGAATTAACAGTATGTAAAGCCTATTTTAAGTCACTTTTCAATAGACTAGGAATAAATTAAATTTTACTTTCACGTTTACTCACAGTGAATCTAGAACTTCAAAGTGTGGATATCCAGACCCAGTTTACAACAACAACGTGATGAAGTAATTCTTGTGTGTATTTTCTCTAACCTAAAGTTAGATATTTACTTGTCTATTATGAAGAAATCAAAGCTTGATAGCTTTTAACGCTTTTCATTGGCTGGTTTGGTGTCAATTCAGTGTAGTTGCGTACAGAGAACCGTGCGTGCATGCAACTCTGAACCGACCAATCACATCACAGCACCCATCGTGAAATGGCTTCTTTCCCCGCCGTGAAGATAGTTCTTTCAACATGGCCATAAAAGAACTAAAGAATTAATTGGAGAAATGGCTTATCCCTAGCTGAGCAAGAAATTGGATCGTTTGATCATTACTATGGGATACATTTTTTATTCCAAAGAATCCTTTTTAAAAACATCGCGAAAGGGGCTGAAACATCAAATTTCGCTCGGTTTGGGCGCCCATAGCTCAATTATAAAACACTTAAGTCAATTTGGAAAGTGGAAAGGAAATTTCAGATGTGCAGAAAGAAGCACGGACGAAAAGCTGTGGAGACGAACAGTCTGACCTAAAATTTGATGAAAGGACAGGCCGACGGGGAGACATACTAATTGTGTTCGCACTCAGCCGGCGGACTGCAATTGCTATATCCAATTTTGCGTTGTATAATTCTCGTTAAATAGTGGAATCGTTGAATTTTGGAGCATTTCCACCGAACCATCTGTTGCAACATATCCCATCAATTTCATCGCATCACGGCAATATCGCTCAATCACATCCACGAAACAAGAATCTGCCAAAAGTCGCCACTTGTTCAGAACTTCCAGTGAGTTCCTTATCATTGAAACTGGGCGTTTTTCCTCTTTTTTCAAATCCGCAAAACTCGGCTGTGTTATTTTCACGATCCATTGTTTGATATTTTCTAGCATTTCGAGTTCTGCGAATCGATACAAAGAATCGAAAACTTGCAGCGGTTCGGCCGCTAAGTCTTCATATCGCACAAGTCTCACACGACTTCGAAGAGATGGAGGAAACTTTTTCACCAGGTAAAGATTCCTCTCAATCATTTCGCAGCAAGAATAAACGAACTGTCTTAGGGATGGTCTTGTTTTCCGATCAACCTCTCGAAAAAAGGCTACTTTTTGAGAGGACATTACAACTGGTCGCATATCACGTATTAAATAAATAATTTTGCATTCAACATCTGCCATTTCGCACACGTGGAAAAGCCTCTCAAGTGATTGGCCAGGGATTCTATCCAAAAGAAGCTTATAAACGACTGTGTTGTGCTGCACTTTACACGTGTGTTCAAGTTTTTTTTGAGTAACAGGCGAACAGTACTTTCGGCTCCATTTTGGATCTCCTTGCTTGTATTTGCAAAACGGGGGTGAACTCAATGCTCGGCTGTAGAAACGAAAAAAACGACCTATCTCTTTGCTTGTATTACCCATACTGAAGTTGCATTGAAAAATTTGTTGAAGATAATTCGTCGCAAACGTATCGTAATCCCCGACTTGCATTTTCCTAATCCCGTGCAGTGGTTCGAAGATATAAAAGACTCGTGGATGCTTGTCAAAAATATCAGCTAGAAATGTAGAACCAGATCTTCCGTGGGCAACAACCAACAAGACTTGACGACTTTTCACCTTGTGCTGCAACATCCTCTCTGTCAAATCGTTAACTGAGCTTGTTTTGATTTCCAAAGGAGCCTCATTTGTCGTTAGATTTGATGTCGTAATAAACGTACTCCCAGACTGAAATACGTTTCTGTTCTTGACAACGTCTCGGGATGTTTGGAGTAAAGCGAAAAATAAACCAACAGATATAAAAGTGAATATTAGCAGGAGGATGAGGTTTCGTCGAACTCTCCGGCGAAAGGCCATTACGGTGTGGTTTAGGAAGTCTTCACCTTGAAATATATAATAATGTCAGACTCATATTAACAAATTAAAAAAAGTTTTTGCCATGTATCAGCTAATTTAAACTCCAACCACGTTATATTTCTATTTGTTGTCAATCCAAAATTTAAAACTTTCCATTACCTAAAACAAATTAAATAATTGTATCGGAAAGATTAGGATGGATTATAAAATGATGAGAAAATTTTCGACAAAGAAGGTTGTTGTTCAGAAACAGATTCTTATTTTGCGTATAGATGATAAACTGCTGCCATATTAATTTTTTTCTTCTTTTCTTTCACGATTTCCAAAGTGTCCGAAGCTCGATGACTTATGAAGTTTAAGAACGAAATTTTAACAAAAAAATTAATCGTTTTACCTCAACATAGAGAATTCCGAACACTATGTATAATTTTTCTAGTACAGAAATGAGTCACTTTATTGTTAATCGTATGCCTTCAAACCAAACTTGTTCGAACGAGCGCCGAGTGAAACGGTTGAATATTTGCGCAAGACTATTCATTTGTTAATGCGACCAAAATTGATGGGGAATTTATCCCAACCCCTGCAGCCTATATGCTAATTTTTTTTCAGACATACAGAATAGCGTTAAGAACTATGAAACTGGTAGCCTTCGGCATCATAAGAGTAACTATGTCTCGCGGCCATGTAAATGAGAATCCCTTCATCCAAATCGTTGTAATTTTTTTCTTCGACTCTTAACCAGATTTTTTAGGCCAAATACTCAAGGTGAAGAAATTTATCGAAGCCTTTAATCTTAAAAGTGCGAAGATTCGCGAGGTTCTTCAACGAATATTTTTTCCAGTGGAAAATCAAAATACTGCACTAGAATTGATTGATCTTTACGTTACTTTGGCCTTAGCTACCGTCGCATGCTCTTTGACTGAATCTTATGGATAACTTCGACCATTGGAGACACAAAAATATACGAGGACGCGCTTAACGCGCAGAGCCACTCGAGAGCAGATAAAAGGGAAAAAGAACCCTCCTAATATAACAAATTGAAAAAAACATCAAAACTGTCAATTCTTCCTAATTCATAGCTTTGTAGGAAATTACAGTGGAGCTAGGAAACTGATCAAGCGATTGGCTGACATGGCAACCGCGCGTAATGTGGTCTACAATTTCATTAGGTACAAATTTCGTATATTACTTTTCGAGAGACTCAAATTTATTTTTGTCTTCCTCTTCAGTAATTGCCCAGTCAAAAAATATAACAACCTCTTCAATAACAATATCAAACAAGTGGATATCTTTTCAGTCAGCGATCTCTATAAAGGTCACTCATTAGTATTGCCTTGCGCTTAGTTTCTGCTCTTAATTTTACACGAAACCGATCCTGAGCTGGCGAATTTTAAAACAGACCACACTGTGCATAAGTCTCGTCCATCGCGTCTTGTTATCTCTGTTTCATGCAACTGTGACAACCAATTAACGAATATTGTTCAACCATCTTGGTTGAACAATATGGTTGTACAAACAATATCACAGTTCTATTTCAAAATTCTCAGGAGTATAATATCAAGAAAGTGCAGAGAGTTAAAAAAAAGAAAACTTGTAAAATCAGGCAGATGACAAAGTATTTTCGGATCACCTTTCTCTTCTGTTCATGCCACATTGGAGCCAATTTTCTTTGCTGCCATTTGTTAGTGATAAACGCAAGCAGATTTTGTACTGATTTTAGTGTCATGGGAGAACTGTTAATTCTTATAGTGAGTCAAATACAATCGAACACCTTAGCCGATCGATACATTTTGAGACTAATGCAGCCAAATTAAAAGAGGTACTAGTTCTAGCCTGTTTCAGTTTGGGCATTCAGTTGCTGGAGATGAGTGAAAAGGCGGGACGAGCAAGAGAAAAACGAGACTGAGGGGTCTGAGGAAAGGAGAGGAAAGGCTGGACCCATCGATACTCAGTTCCAAAAAAGCCTGGTGGTTTTCTTTAGCCTGCTCATTTTTCCATTGAACAAAAGCTTTCCTTGCTCAGGGCAACTCTATGATGTGTTACGTTACTTACCGAACGGTCGAGTAAGTGTCCTTGAAAATGCTTTCAATTTGCTTTAAAAAGGATCATCTAGTTAAACGTTTTCAGTTAGTCTCGTTATTCCTTTCAGGAACATTATGTGAGATAAAATAACCAATCTTAGCTACAACATTAAGATTGAGACGTTGAACGTCAACAAATAGGAGCAATAAATAACAAGGAGTAACGTTAAAAATATTGATCTGATTGGAAAATATCAAGAACCAATTCGCTCAACATTATCAGAGCTAAAAACAACTCAACAACACCGTTTCCATTTCAAAACCATGGTTTTATTTAATATTGCAGTTCCATGATATCCATAGGTACCTGTTCTCGTCCTCGACCAACAACTCACATTTGCTCTGACGAAAGAGTAATACTCGAAACGTCAGTTTTAAAAATTCTCCACGGCGGTCAATTTATAACATCGAACAACTCAGTTGATTAAACTAAATTAGCTCACAACGATTCACAAAGCCCCACAAAAGTTTGAAAGTCTAAATAGAGTTCTCTGAAGGGCCATGTAGTTTCACTGTTCAGAATTTCAAAAGCTCATTTTCCAGTTGTTTGAAATGCGTGATGGAGGAGATTAGCAGAGACGAATTTCCCTTGCGACTCCCATCGTGAGGAAGAATTTCTGACCGTTCAGAAACTATTTTTCATTGTACAAAGACCACAGACTAATTCTGGAATCTTTTCCACCGGCAGCCAAGAGCTGTCCGTGGTCACACAGATCTTCTGAGAAATCCACCGTGTTTATAGTTTGTGTATGATAACTAAGGTAAGCCAATGGTTTGAGTGTTTTCCAGCTGTATATTCTTATCCTGTAAATAGATAAAATCACTATTTCAATAATCGTTGTCCCCACCACAAACATTAGGATTATAGATATCGTTACAATAATTATTGGTGGCATCAATATAAATTTCAATATCGTTACCGTTAAAAAAAATCTAAAGAATTATCGTTATCAACCCTTTAACTCCCAAGATCGGACTATCAATTCTCCCCTCTTGCTGCTACACATTCCCTTGTACATCAGTAAAGAGAATTTGGTGTAAGATCAAGGTAACAACTACCAGACAAATCTGAGTATTCTCGTAACCCATTTGCTGGGTAATGTATAGATATTGTAGAAAGAAGTTACATGTTAATCACTTCTGGTTGTAAAAGGAATAAATTTGAATATTAGTAGAACAAGATTAAAAATACCTATTGAGAAGTTGAAATTGCGAGGATGAAATTCAACTTATCTATGTAATTATTCAGGACACTGCTATAACAACATCTAATTTCTCCTTACAGTATCAACCCTGAAACAAACATAAAGCTTATGAGAATTAATGTTAAATGGTTAATAAATGGCCCACAACTTTACCTGCCATCCCATCCACCAGTAGCCAGTATTTTATGATCTTTCCTGATTTTGACTGAAGCAATGCCTGGGTTTTTCAGCTCAATTTCTTTTTCCACTGTTATGCTGTGCTAGAGAGAATATATGGATGATATCATGTCTGCAGCAGTAAGTGAAACAATTCTAACAAGACCCTGCACATACCTGAGGTGTTACTGATGACACACACAGCTTACTATCTGCCGAGCCAGACACTATTCTGAGGTCCTCTTTGTCTACATCCATGCAGAGAACTAAAAGTAAATACAAACATGTTGAAGGAAATAAATAAGTTTTTACCTATCCAGCAAGTAAAGGCTTCAAGTTATGGGTTTGAGTCTAGCCATTAGAAGAGAGACAAGTCAAACTGAACCCTTTTACTCCCAAGATCTCATTTAGTAATTTTCCTTACTGTCTGTGATACAATTCTTATGATGTTATATCTGAGAATTTGTTAAAGGATCAACTCATAATCCCCTTATTGATTGTCTTTATTCTCTTTACTTGTCTGCTGGATATTGTATCAATATTGTATGGAGAAATTCTGTCTTGGTCACTCATGAGAGTTAAAGGGTTGATGGCTTTTACTGCCTTAACTTTATTATTCCAGAATCACGCAAGAAAGTGATGGGAATTAAGGAAATGATCAACAACTAAAGAAACTTTTGATTGTTAAACAAATTCTCCTTGTCAGCAGCTTAGGAAATCTATAAAAAAAACAGTATCGAGAATATGCATACCCATGTTAGGGAGCAAAGGGTTCATATTTTCAAGGATTTGGACGCACAAACTTGAAACTCCACAATAGTTGCATGTTCGTAAATATGCAAAACTACCAAAGATCAATGATTAACCTGATTCAGCGTGAGTTGGATTTCTACTCAAGATTTTTCCAGCCATAACATCCCAGAGCACAAGCTGACCACTTTCATAACCTGCGATCAAGAAGGGCTTGTCTGTTGCTGGATCAGAGATCAAGGAGATACACATGCACATCCCTGAAAGGAGAAAAAGAAAAGTTTTATAACAGTAAGCAAGTGGTTACCTAAATAGACACATTTACTGCCAGGGGATATTATAAGACAATTCTGCAGTTGATTAATGAAATGTAAATTTGTGGCATAGGATGACGTTTTGAGCATTAGCCCTTCGTCAGAGAGAAAGACAAAGGGCTATAGCTGGAAATGTCAGCCTCAGAAGCTCTCCACAATGGCCAATTTAAATTATCATCTCAGTTCATAAAAAAAAGATTAATATGGTGCTTTTCACTCTTTTTGGAAGTCAATAGCAAGTACTAGTCACCTCAGAGTAGCAGATAAGACAAAATTGTGAGTTGAGTTTAATTTCCTACCAGCATTTCTCTGTACATTTAAAGAAATCAACTGTTTTTTTTGTATCTGTGTGGTATATACTAAAACAGTTGTTCACCTAAGTGTCATTGGAAGTGGTGGATATTTACCTCTCTGCTTTGCGACTCAGTAAATATCCACCATTATTCACCTCCACTTAGATGAATAACTGTTAATAATGAGAAAACTATAGACTAACTTGTTGCCTGGTTGCTTGAGAGGAACATTTGACTGTATGTATTGATCACAAACTAACAAAATAATTCATGCAATGCACAACTTACCAAGTGACTTTCCATCGTCAGGTTTTAGAGCAAACAAGATTTCTTTTGCCTCCAGATCATGAATATTAACCTATGATCAGCGTTAAAGAAGAAATAAAAAACAAACTCAATTTGTTAGCATAGAGACCATCATTACCCTCGCATCTTTCATTTCTCTTGTCAATACACCCAGTATAAACTTTTAAAACTCATTTATGTTTTCTCACACTGACATCAAATAAGATTGGAGAGCAACTACCAAAACCCATAAAAAATGATAATTAACCCTTGCAACTAATTTCACCTTACAATATCACCCCCAAATCACATATTTAAGTCACAAAAATGAAGGAAGTGATCCCCAACTAAAGGAGCTCTTTATCATAAGAAGAATTCTCCTACTAAGATCTTAGCAAATATATAGAGAACAGCATAGAGAGTGTGGATATTAATGTTAGACTATGAAGGGCCAAGAATGAGAGCTTAACCATGATAACCAACCTACCAATAAAGAAGACAATAAATTATGGTCTTTATTACCTGGGAATTACTGGCTGATGGCAGACCAATCCAATGGGACTTGTATCCTGTAAATGTAAATTTATGAAATAGCTTTGATCTTTTTAGTTCCTATCAATGTTACCTTATATGTTATGGATGGAGAACAGATGGTCACTGAAGATAGGGGCACACAGAGGGACACAGGTAGGTACCACAGCAGTTGAAACAGCTGATTGGTGGCAGGGTTTAAAGGGAAGATAACAACTATAAACACAAGTATAGTTAGCTTTTTACAACTTGCCAACAGTAAAGAAAGAAATTAAGGAGATGAGGAGATATCAAGCTCCTGGCAAAAAACTGGCAGATGGGAAGGAAGCATGTTGCTGCCCTACATGCCACTTAGGCGTAAAGGGCATGAGTGAGAGTGATAACTAGCTTTTTACATCACCTCTTGACAAAACACAAAACTGACAAAATCCAAGAAAAGGAGCTGTGATACTGTTGACCACCTCCTTTCTTCCTTCAGAACACTGCCATATTCGTAGATACCCATCCCTGCCATGACTGAAAAAATAAAAATAATTTGACAAAAAATAAGTTATCTTATGGAAATATTCACCAAATGGTTAATGCGATTATTATAGTTATGATTTTAGAATCAACTTTGATAGAAATTTTTTGAGAATGAAATGTAACAACTATACTCACTACCCCTAATAATTAGATCAACAACTGTTACAGCCAAAGTATCTTTTTTTTTCTTTTAATAAACCATTTAACCACTAAGAGTGACTAGCATCTAATTTCTCTTTATAATATCACCCCTAATTCAAACATTGAGGTCATGAGAATAGAGGAAATGATCACATACTAAGGAAGCTGTCAATTTTTAGGAAATTTTCCTCATCAGCACCTTATGAAATGTAAGGAGAACAGTATAGAGATTATACAAATTCATACTAAGGTGTGAAGAGTTAAAGGAAAGACAATTCAACAAGTTATAACCAAGGAGTGATTATTTTTCCCTTGAAAGTTGAATTATGAAGTTTATTTGCATGGATGTGGTAAGTATATGGTACCTTATCACATTCCCACAAGGGTGAAAATCGGCAGCAAGGATGGCATGTCCATCATGACCATCTAATGTTATCTCTGATCTTTTTGTTTTAAGATTCCACAAACTAATAATTCCTTTAGCAGACCTGCAAAATCAAGGGTAAACTTAGGTATCACAGTATTCCAGCTATGTAATCATATCTCTTGACGGTCGTTTTTCCAAGGGGAGCTAAGGAAAAAGTGAGTTTGATTATTACACCTGCAAATGTATGCAAAGCACAATCAGAAACGATGACGGTTGTTCCGATGATTCAGTTGCATCATGGAGAATGACTGTTTCAAACATAACTGTGATCAACAAAAATCACACTAGTGTTTACTTCGTTCAATGTTCACAATGGTTCACTTGTGATCAATGTGCACAAACCGTACCCAGAAAGTAGAAGTCCTTCTTCCCTAACAGACTTTGGAGCAAACTTGACGACATTTAAGGCTGCTTCTGTACCGCGCAGAACATACAATGGGTCCGGAGGGCTTCTATTTTCCATGATGGTTGCATGCCTTCATGCTTCCACTTAGAGGTTTCTTTGTTTCTTGAATTGGTTCCTTTTTACCAGGCGTTACGTGACAATACGAAGGGGAATGGAACTAGTTGCCTACACCACTGGTCCATGGACTTTCGGCTCAATTAAAATGGCCGCAGACTTTTGAGCTAGTAAACGAACAGATCAGACTACCATTTTTTCCCTTTCGGTTTTGCAATAAGTAATGTTTAATGGGTCTATTTATGGAATTAAGGTTTTAACGTCCAATTTTAATGCCTGGCTTTTGAATCGAAGATCGCGTGACATGCAATGAACGGTATAAAGTCACACGAATCTAATTTCGAATTGATTTGCAACTTACGCGTCAGACGCAGTCATGTCAGTTGACAATGGGATGAATCAGCTGGCAGATGTTGTCAAAGCACCAACGGCGTTAACTGTCAGCGAAAATAGTAAATGGAGAACTGAAATTGAAGAAATGGAAAATAACTCGGAAAAGGTCTCCTCCGTAGCTGGTATGAATATAACGACTTATTCTGAGGAGGAATCGCTTAAAGAGATGCCGCATCAGACAGAGAGAGTACCGCTCAAGAGAAATTCTGATGAAGACTACGTGGATAATAAACGACGAAGAACAGAAGGAGATCAAGCTGCTATGACTCGGTCAAATGACAGGGAAAACGTTAACAGTACAACAGGAGATGAAAAACAAGAAGGAGAAAATCAAACAGATGAACAAGAACGAAAAGTTATTATCAGTAGGTGTTAACTATTCTTTTGTTTTTCAGATAAGTGTTAAGCTGTGAATACGTTAAACTTTTAATATTTTACAACAACACTTATGATGTAAGGAGCCTAAGAAACAGGAATGAATTTCCCTAAATGCTTATATATAGAGGCTACCATGAAAACTACAGCAAAATTATTTCTTAAAAATATTTAAAAAATTATAACAAGTAGATCCATGTGTGAAGAATACAGGTGAATGATACTTAATTAAAAGCTTTTACTCAGTTACATAATTATTGTCAGCATTCACTTGTACAGGGGACTCTGCAGTGGTTTGCAATGAAGATCTTCAATAGACTGGTAAATAATACATCCCCAAGAGTTTGGTAAATTATCCAACAATAGTTATTTAGGAGCAGGTGTTGATCATGTAGATGGACAAGCTAAATAAAGACACTTCATCCTTTATAATCTTGATGAAAATTTTCATTTTCTATAGGGTTAACATATCATCTAAAATGTGGCTTGATTAGCCAGCCAAGGCTTAGAAACGGCACTAGATGACATGTTTCATGAGTTAAGGAGAGCTTTAATTATGGGGAGGACACCCATACTGTTAACTTTTTCTGTTGAGACTGAGTGCACATATCTTAACTAGATAATTATTGTTGTCCATATGAATGTGTGTCACTTTTCACACGTCTTAAAACTTTTTTGATAAGAGTAAAAAAGGCTTAACAGTGCATTGAAGTGATATTAAAATGTTCTTGATAATAATTAGTCATTTGCATCTGTTGTTTATGTTTGTGATGAAAATTTTTAAATATGACTAATATAAATGAACAGAGCAGGTGTTTCCCATTCTTTCAACTCTAAATGAGTGACCAAGACAGAGTTTCTCCTTACAATATCAATACAATATCAAGCAGACAAGTGATGAGAATAAAGAAAAACATCAATAGGAGATTGTTGGTTGATCTAATACCAAATTCTGTAAACTAAAATCATAAGAATTATTTGGATTACAGTAAGGAGAATTAATAACTAGATCTAGACAGTGAAAGGGCTAAGGAATGATTTCCTGAGTGAAAAGTCTCTTTTCGTTCTAATAAACTATAGCAAAAATAATTAAAATAAGCTTGATGAATCCTATATTCCCTAACTGTGTTCTTTAAACATACACTAAGACACTTAATAACTCCCTTATGTTTAATGGGTGTATTTTACTTAATGTTTGCTTTGTCTCTTTTAGTGAAGGGAAGTCTGCCAAAGCTGGCATTGCCAGAGGGTTGGATAGCACTTAATCATCGCAGTGGAGGAATTGTTTATCTCCATAAGCCATCAAGAGTGTGCACTTGGTCTCGTCCTTATCATATTGGTGGCGGAAGTGTTAGGGTAAAATTTTCTTTATGTTTCATACAACATATTTCATTTGAAAGCAAAGACAGGATGGCACTATTTACTTGCAGTTTTTTCAGAGGGCTTTGTTAAAAATCTATTACAAGTATTTTGATTCTTGACATACCAAGTAGGGTTTGGAAGAGTCTTTAGTTTGTTTACAGAATTAGGTACCCATTTTTCTATGTTAGTATTAAATAGGGTTGAAGATTCTTCAAAATGTTCCAAGGAAAGTTTAAAGGCAAAGGGGTATTCTGTATAACCTAAATACAGATTAGGAAATGAAACAGAACCTGATGTAGTCCAGACTTTGGTTAGAAAATTGTGGGAACAAATTATTATCATTATGTATGCTCAGAAGGCTTTCACCATTTCAATCCGGTGGGTGTCCAAAAAATAATTTTGTTTTAAAAGAAATATAAAGTGAACACCTTTTCAGGCAGACAGTAAATCAGAAGAAAGAACGATATCAGCTGAGGGATTTTGTTTGATTTGACAACAAATTCTCAGAGCTAAAGATTTAGAAAACATAAAGCAGAAAGAATTGATATTTCCAGGTTATATCTTGGGAGTAAGTGGGCTAAAGCAGAAATGTTTAAACAACTGTTACAATAAGACTGATCTCTTATCTTTCACTTGCCTGCATCTTGCGCTTGCCTTAAAACTGCTACTGGTGGGTCTTTACTGCCCACGAGTTGCACTTTTAGTCACATGCAAGGAGCATATGTAGAGTGAAATGAGAATTATTGTAATGGAGACACTGCTTATCCTGAGTGTTCTTGTAACACATTGTTTAGAACTACCTGCCTCAGTCTGTGGGTATTATGGATCTGACCTGAGTATACAAAACTCAAAAGAGACTTTTTGGGGGTCTAGCATCTTAAATAAGTGTTTGCTCATGGAAAGAGTGCCAGGATCATTTCTTTCAGGAAATGTTTGAGAGAGAAACATTTGTGAAGAGAGTAGCCTGAATTTTTTAAGAGGTGCCAAACATGAAAGCTGGAATTGGATCAGCCTATATTAAATTCACCTCTCTTCCCCTCTGTTCTTTTTGTATCCCTCTTATCATGATCATCAAAGGTTACTTTAATCTGAGAGACCCACTGAGCTATAAGGAAAGTATGAGAACTGTTTTGTTGCTGGGAGACTTCCAGGCAAACAAGGAGGGTTGGCATTTGTATGTGTGTTTAGTCTTTAAGTATTTATTTGCCTAGAAGCCAAGCCCCCAAACTTGAGATACTTTATTCTTTACTATCAGTTATATTTAGTAATCAACAGCATAAAAACAAGAAGTACTGTAATCTGAACCCAATTCATTGTTCTTGACTGTCAGTTGAAAACTCTTCCAAAACTCAGTATGTAGAAGCTGCAAGAGTCAGTCAAATTAAGATAAATTTTGAGTTTCTGCTGTTAAATAAATGTCTGTACTATAAACTGTAAACTTTCAGAAACATGATGTACCATTGGCTGCTATTCCATGCCTCCACCAGAAAAAGGGATTTTTAATAGAACAAAAGAATGCTGAAGAAACAAAGTCAGAGAACGGTACCTCCAAGTTAACAAACCCGGCAGGTTCAGTCTTAAATGCACTGAACACTCAGGATGTTGAAAAATGTTATGCGAATGACAAGGATAACATCACACAACACCCACAAATTACAGAGAAGGCTCATGATTATAGTGAACAAGTTTCCTCAATAAAAAATATCTCTGAAGAAGAACAAGAGTCTACTGACAGCTGCAAGAAGACTCCAACAAGTTTGGAGTTATTAGACGTTGGAGAACTAGGAATATACTTGTCAAATTTATGGGAGTTTCATACCCTAACATCCGAACAAGAACGGTACGCTGTAATGCCCCTACCACACACTGTCGATGATCTTGAATTACCTTCAAGTCTGGAGTGTGTATCGTATCCAGTAAAAGGCTCAGAGAATGGGAAGAGCTCTGGTAAAGATTATCTGTTAAATGCTGGTGGTAAAACACCTGTGGCTTTATTACATGAGTACTGTCAGCGATTTTTGAAGTCCAAACCAGTTTATCTTGCCAGTGAATGTGCTAGTTCAGATAGTCCCTTTGTGGCAGAGGTACAAATAGATGGCATCAAACATGGCTCTGGGGCTGGTTCCAGTAAGAAAATAGCTCGCCAAATTGCTGCTGAATCTACTCTTGAAGTTCTGTTGCCAGGAACGTTTAAGAAAATTCGTGATTATCAGATCTCTGATGCCGAGCTAGAGGTAAGGTCTTGTAAGGACAAGCTAGAGTAGTTAGATTAACAGTCCTTTATTCACCCCATCAGTCTTAATTGGCTTTGAAGCTTGTCGTTTCTTGTCATTTCTTCACTCCTAACCATTAAAATATTTTTCCTTCTTCAATTTGATATGTCTATGAGCAAGCATACAGTTTGTTGTCATATGATTCCTTTAATGAAATAAGAAATGCCAGACAGAGACCCTGAACATAATTACAGTAGAACCCCACTAACTCAAACCCGGGTTACTCGAACAAGATCCGATTTCCCTCAGATTTGACCTCATTTTCCAGTCATTTATTATCAGCTAACTCGAGCAACTCGAACTCTGTTAAATTGAACTAAATGTACTATCCTTTGACTCAAATTTGCCCTGATAACTCGATCTTTAGACAAAAACGTTGTTCGAAAAATGTCAAAGTGTTGGAACGTAGCTGATTGACATCTCCCATTCTTTAATCGCGATTGATACAATCGTGGTAACATTTATGAGAACGTAATATATTTATCCAAACTTTCCAAACTAAGCTCTCCTAAAACAGCTTTATGAACGGAAATGACTGTTGATTGTCATTGACTTTGTCACTATCTGCTATATTATTATAATATTAATACTGTTTAGTAGATGTATTCATTTATTTTGTTCTTCTTTATTTTTACAGTTTTTTGACAAAGT